GGAAATATTCGAATTCACACCAACAATAGACAGTGTTTATAGTACGATGTAAAATAATGAAATATGATCTATGTGTCATAGTACTGTGGTCTGTCGCGACAAAGTTGTGTGGATTGTATGTAACAGTATTCTGTTCTGTAATAGGTTAAAAGACAATGAAAAGGATTCTATATCGTTCCTACGCAGGTTCTCACACCCATATTAGGATGTTCTCATACTTTGTGTCAAGCCCACATGCGAAATACAAATGTCTCATACGCGTGTACCTAGTGCCATCAACTGAAAAAATGTTTGCACTGTAGAGATCTACTAGCATATCAACAATATATTTACATCACAGAAGCGAGTGTCTGGCAATGAACGAGCATGTTTTGAACTATTAGAGTAATATGTAAATAGCAGATTCACAGTTATCAGTAAAAGGGATATTCAAGATACGCCTGCTAGCTTGGGGAGTAGAGTAGATCATATATGAAGTCTCTTAACGTTTTATTGTTCCATGTTTTGTGGTATTTTTTTAAACGTGTCCAGAAACTGAAAGGAAGAGTTGGGGCCTATCTAAATTTGGTTTATGTTAAGGTGATTTTGAAGTCAGTCTAATGCCTGAAAATTGTCTCGTCTGACACTATCCCTAGACCCCCGAACAAGCGCTATCACGCCCCCCCCCCTTTTTTAACGCAAAGCAAGAAGGGGATCTTTAGCGTGCTAGAGTGGACAATACTCACACGGGCCACCGTTTAAAGTCCCATCCGCCGGACTATAGTTAGTGGTTAGTGGCTAGTTCGGAGCAGGTGAAATTATAAATAACACATCTATTTTTTTCTTTTGCCCCCTCTTGAAATCCTTTCCAATCATATTGTCTAAACTACTTCATCACTTTACCAATGTCTATTGCTTTCTGTGATTCCACTCCATTCCTTCTGCATACTTCCTTACCGACTTTTATAGTTATATATGTGATGTATGTGAATATTGTGAGATTCTTGATTTCGAGTTTTTGACCCTATAGCCTGCATTGGATAAGCAGTTCTGTATAATAATTATCGAGAATTCTTTATCCCTGTTGTCCTACCTAACAGAGTTCAATATGCTTCTACCGAATCCGACTGTAAACCAGTCTATGACTGTTGTACCCTGAGGTCCCCCGTTTTTTTCTCTATCCTGCACGTGGGGTTTTAGATATGGAGATTGTTTGTGCATTTTTCTTCGTTTTCAGTCGTTTGTTTTAACAGATACTTGACAGGACGTGTTTACTTGTGTGTGCTCTTTTATGTCTAAAGTTTCAGATTATTTTACAAACGTGAATGCTGGTGATGTGGAACAGAGTGACACTACATAGCTCATGAGGTGCCAGTATGCACCAATAAATGAGAAGGTAAGTTGTAATCCCATCTTGTACAGTCCTCCTGGGTATCCTTGGTAACCTACCTGTTGTATTATGTAGGTTTCTATGTTTGGGAGTTGTTTCCCTTCGGCCTTTCTGTTTACCGTTGATGAATAGAGGAAATTCCGCCATCTTGGATACTGCATAGTGTATACATCCTTTTTTTTACAACGGAAAATGACTTGTATGGTGTGCATGGCGTGTTTTGGCATGTGTTGCTGGTATTTTGCATTCAAAAACGTAATTTTTCGTCTTTAAATTACGAAACATTCTTTTTTTGTACTGACAAAAAGCATGAAAACATTATATTTCTTAAAATTATCACATTTCAAATTTGCGAAATTGACATTTTTCACTTACACAATTAATGTTTATTATGTTATTTCAAAAAATGCAAAAAAAAAAAAATCAAACTTTATTTTGTTGTTGTTTTGTTGCTGTTGTTTGCTGTAAGAGTGCTGCTGTTCTGCTGTTGTGTACTGCTGGTATTTGCCTGCAAAAACTTACAGTTTTTATGGTTTTTATTAACAAAATATAAGCATTTTACAATTTTTATTTACAAAAATATTTCTGTTTTCCATTTTATACTGACAAAAACAGTATTATTCTTTAATTGACATACAAAAATAAAATTAACAATTACTTAAAAAATAGTTTTGGCCTCAAATTGTGTAATTTGAACTTCTCAATTGATGACCAATTGACTCATTGTTGCCCACTGCATTTTTTTAGTTATTCCCCATTACCTTGTTGACCTCTTATCAGATTATGAACGAAATTACCTACATCGAAATCTTTTCTAAGAATTTCCATGAAGTCAAACATCGTCATCCCTCTTCCTCAGTGTACCAAATAAAATATACAGTGCTGACCACACACTAGAGAGTTCAGCTGCTGTATTCGAACAGGGTTATATGTCAACTTGCTTTACAAAGTTAATGAAAGCGTCTTAATACCCCCACTTCTTTCTTCGTCTATATATATGACAATCCAGTGTTGACCGTGTTACGTATCCGGAACTTTATTGCAGACTTACGAACATGGTGACGTTAATGCACGAGGCAATCTGTTCCTGGCATATAACCTTTAAAAGTAGATGAACTCTTTTTATTCAAGATGATTTCAATCTCCAAAGTGTTCATTTTTTAGGAATTGAAATCAAATAAGATCTGTCGGCATACATGATGACGTTGAAGATTTGGGTCAAGGCTTCGCCGAAATAAATTTCCAGGGACAGATTTCCCTTCAGTGCCTAATTCGGAAAGATCGGGCGTCAGGTCGAATCCCAACAAAGTATGGCTGTTGCCGTCTTCTTCCTTCGCGACGTTATTACCATCGTCATGGAAAAATTTGCCGGTACTACTGAATACACCCATGTAGCTCTTATGTAATGTTTAGCAGTAGAATTAGGTTGAAAGGCTTTGTCGGAACCTGTTTATATCCACGTTCAAGACGACGTAATTGATTCTGTAATGTTTGAAAGAGAATTGATTTTTGGTAACGACGCAGCTATAGACATCGCTGTGTACGCAGCCCACGACCAATCTCAGTTATTTGTCCTATAAAGATTGTCTTTTACGAAATCGAGGTTCCCCCTCGGAACGGACGCAGCTTTCATTTCGATTCTGCTTATAAGGTATTATACGGACGTCAATTGTAACGCTTTCGTATGTGCCAATCTAACCGACGAACAGGGTTTCACTTTCCTCACGTTCAGGTAAATCAGAGACGTATATATCACATATATACGTGATCTATACGTCTCTGGGTAAATGTCTTGTCTGACCACTTTGAACCCGTCACCATCTCTGCTTCCGACAAAGTTTCATCACGTATGTGTAAGGTGTTCAGAGTGCGAGGTTTTAACAAAATTTTGTAAGGAATGACGTCACTAGGGGTTTGAAAACCATTTTCTAAAATTAGTAACCTTGACCTTGACCCAACAACCCTTAGCCTAAAACTTTTCCAAGAGTATTTGTTGCTTTTTATGTGTGTGAAATTTGTTTAGAATCCTCCACGAAATGAAGCCATTAGAGCACTGACAAAGATTTTCTGAGAATAGTAACATTGACCTTGACCCAAATCCCTGAAACTAAAACTTGTCAAAGATAAGATTATACTCTAAGTTTGATGAGAATCCATCAATTTACTAAGGTTGACAAATTTTCCCAGATGCAGAGACGGACAGCGATAAAAACAGTATTCCAAAGTTTCACTCTTAGTGGACTAATAATACACTTTAAAGTACAACCAATCATTTAGAAACAAAAAATAACTTTTATCCGCCACGAAACGCTCATGCAGGGGATATTAGTTTGGGCTCTGTGCATGTGTGCGTGGGTCCATCACATTTTCTGTTACCATGAAAACATAGTCAAAAATCCAAAATTAATGTTAAGTTTCCTTTCTGGGCTACAACTTCCTAACTATTCCACTCAACTCCACAAAACTATTTGATATGTAAGGTTAGTAAATTTTTTTCTGTTACCGGCATTCCTCATCACAAATTTCAGTTTTTCTGGACTGGTGCTCTGAAACCGTTCAAGATAATTGCTCAAAACTTTTTACACTTATCAAGCTAGTTGTATCTCTTGCTAGGGGGAAGTTCTCCATTTCAATGCTTTTTCTGTTACCATGGAAACAGATTACAAATCTAAGTTTTTTCAAGACCAGTCCTCTTAAACTATTCAAAGCAATTACCTATTACTCAAAACTTTGTACAGGCATCAAGCTAGTACTCTAGTAGAAGTTCTCCATTTCAATGCTTTGTATGGAACAATTAAAAACAACACAAGGCAATATTAAGAAACTTATATGATTGTGTAAGTTTCTTTTAAAATGAAGGGCACTGGGGTTAATGTCACGCTTTGCATTATCTTGTTCATTTTTATTTCATATCAATGTCTACTGAAACACATATTTCTCATGAAATGCGGGTTCTTCACACATCATTGGTCCCTGACACACATCACTGGTCCTTGATACACATCATTGGTCCCTGACTCACATCATTGGTCCCTGACACCCTTCACTGACCCCAGACACTCATTACTGGTCCATGATGACACTCATCACTGTTTCCAGATACACATCACTGGTCATCAACATATATCACAGGTAACAGACATTACTTATTATTACACATTGCTGGTCCTTGAAACACATTGATTTCTGATGCACATTTCCAAGGTGATATATCACTCTTTCCTGACACATATCACACACATCACTTGTCTCAGACACACAGCCTGATTCCTGACACACAGCACTGGTCCCAGATACACAGCCTGATTCCTGACACACATCACTGGTCCCAGACACACAACCTGATTCCTGACACACATCACTGGTCCCAGACACACAGCCTGATTCCTGACACACATCACTGGTCCCAGACACACAGCCTGATTCCCGACACACATCACTGGTCACTAACACTACTGATAATGGTATAAAGAATAGTGTAATCTGTCCATTGATGAGCATCGCTGGGGTCAATGAGTACAACTGTTCGATCAAGTTTTTCTTTTTGCCTGTCCAATTCTTGATAAGCATTATCTCCTGATAAAATGGTGAAGTGAACACATTTATCAAGACGCTCATCCATGCGGCCATACTGCAACACAGATATACAGAACATAGAACATCAGGCAGAAAATGAGAAAATGTTCATATACTGAAACTTATTCCATCAGAAATATTACACCCTTTGATATATACTAGTGGTCAAAAATGTGGTATCAGGCTGTCTTCAAGATATTAATTGTTTTTTTTAATAACGGGGTAAAAATGCAGGAGAACGAGAAATATTGAAATAGACCAAATATACTTACAACTTATCAATGAGGTACTTGTATCTAAATGTTTTTATTAGATAATTGAATGATTCTTGGCACAAACTTACATGGTACTGTATGATACACTAAAGTGGTCAAAATCTGTAAATCTAAATATGGTCACCGGGAATGATGAAGCATTTAAGACTGTGAATAATACAGAATAGAGAAAACTTAACAAAAGTATAGTTCTAAGAGGCAATGCAGAGACTAAGAATAATTTCATGAACAGGAGTCTTAATCTACCGGTAATGTATTTCAGATGTACTCTTTTTGAATACAGATCACATGGGAATCATTTTATGAAATGCTGAAGTAAATCTGAGAGTTTCAGAACATTTTTTTTTCAGGTTAGTACTGTCAACACAACCAGCAGAAGATTGTGGTGTTTCGATGATTATACTGCCACCTTCATCAGGCAAATGGCCAGTGTGTCATTTCCTTACCATCTTATACACTACATATGTCATTGCTAGTACGTTCTACACTGGTCGCTTGTCTTGATGAAGTTGACCGTTTACCCAATCAAATAAACTTCTTTCCATCTACGTTTCAAGATAAAGATGTTATTAGAAAGATTAACACAAGCTCTGTGACCCCTAATGACCATACAACCTTTGTCTGTTGTGTCATAAGTACAGATTCTGATTACCACCATATATAATAAACAACTACCAGTATTGTCAGCAATATATATCTTCACTGAAGAGACAGAGGCTTTGATAATGAGCTGAATGGACAGGGCGAAGGTTCACCAGAGGCTGGAAATAACACTAATGAACATTGTTGAAAGCAAATTAAGTATCACTTTTGCCAGTTCCACCATTATGTTAATAAGTCAAAAATAAATAGGTAGACCATGTTTGATTATTTATAAAATTACAAAACTTATTTAATTATGAGGTTAGTGCACCTCAGCATCAAAATTTTGAATTCTCATATAATGACTTTGGATTTTCCTCAGTCACTTCCTAGGTTTCAAAATTTAGGCCCTTAGCATCACTGACGAGTCCTAGAAGGATGAAACAACTGTATGGTGCAGTTTAATTCATTGTTTGGCTTTATAATTTATCTAACACTAATTTTTTTTAATTGAAAGGTGCTATTCACTTGTGTGTCTTTTGTAAAATATTTTGATATTGTCGGTTAGATTTTTGTTTTATATGTATTATATATATGGCCAGAGACGTATATAACATAACGTGATATATACGTCTCTGATATGGCTTAAGGCTGAATTAATGTAGGCTTTTTTGAAAATAACAGGTACAATAGTATACCTGATACTGAAAAGTAGAAGATCTTTTTGTACAGGATGTCACTGTTAAAAACGTCATCTTCTTGACTCCAGTAACCCAAAATTGCGATAATGTAGGCATCACTAAAGAAATACTTCTGAAGTTGTGAACTTCAAAGTAGAGAGAAATCAAACGTACCGTGAGGCAAAGTGCAAAATCAGCAGCATCTTCATGGTGGCCACATGGAGGGTTGAAATAGAAACGACCATTCCTTCTCTGGTGGTCATACACATCACAGCTGAAAGTCAACATATGACACTAGATTTAAAACAATATTCTGGAAAGGAGTTCATGTGACAGTGTTGTACCTAATTTTACAATGAAAAGTACGAAATAACTTGAAAAAAATAAAAAATAATTAAAAAAACACATAAAAAAACAACTTTTACACCTCAATAGTACCAGTGTGGCCTACTGTGATCAACGATCTACATCCTATTACAACCAAAATCTCATCTTGATATGTGTAACTGGATCTTATGATACTACAATTTTTCCTCATATTTTATTTGTTACTTTCATAGCATGTTACATGTAAACGAATAAAGTATTTTCTGACTTCTCTGTTGAAGTACTTTTGAAAAGAATAGTTTTTACCTTCCCTATTTGTCTCTAGTGAACTTAAATCTTGAAGTCTTTCCATACCTTGTGGGATGGAAATTAAATGATTATACTATACCAGTATGGTTTTTACCTGTGAGGTTCCTTCCATGTTCCGTTCTTGCCACTGAATCCCCAGACAAAGGTACTGGATGGCAGAGAGAGTGGTAGCCTCTTGAAGAAATATGGCCAAACGTCTAAGTTAACAAAGATGATGTTTATCATCTTGTTAAGATTAGCTGGGGCAATCAGTGACTTGTTAGCTAGATCAAACCGTTCCTGATATTGACCATCTGCAGTTGAAATCCGAAAATTTTCCATAAAATCTTGATCAAGACCACTATTTGTATCAATATTCTTCATTTGTCCAGTTGGCAGCTTTTGAAAATTAATCTTTGCTAATTGCCAGGAGTTTTTGTTAGAGAATGTTTCACTGATCATCTGATTGTGTTGTTCATTAGGAACAGAGCTGCTCATCTGTTCAGTGGTCATGTCATCAGAGAAACTAGATTTAACCTTGATCTTTTTCCCACAATCTGAGTCACTGCTATGTTTCCGTTTTCTGCATGTTGATGACCACTCTGGAGAATGCATATCTTGACCAGGAAATTTCTTGGTGATATTGACATCCTGAGACACCATAAAGGATATACAACACCTTCGTACAAAGTCTCTGAATGTCTGGCAATCAATATTCTGGATCTGGCCAATCATAGACTCTGTATCATTTGATATGCAGTAATGAATATTGTCATCAGAAATGGGAGGGGACATCACACTATCACAAGTAGAACAAGCATGGCTTTCCAAGTACTTCAAAAACACATCAACCTTTCAAAAAAAATGAAATAAATATTATTCCAAGAAGTTCATGTAATGAAAAGTCACCTGTTGTAATCTTGCCATAGCAATAAAGTGTAAGTTTCAGTGTTGGTGATTGGTCATCTGTTCAAATGTTGTTATGGTGATGGAGTGCCAGTGTTGGTGATTGGTTATCTGTTCTAATGCTGTTGTGCTGATGGAGTGCCAGTGTTGGTGATTGGTTATCTGTTCTAATGTTGTTATGTGATGGAGTGCCAGTGTTGGTGATTGGTTATCTGTTCTAATGTTGTTGTGGTGATGGAGTGCCAGTGTTGGTGATTGGTTACCTGTTCTAATGTTGTTGTGGGGATGGAGTGCCAGTGTTGGTGATTGGTTACCTGTTCTAATGTTGTTGTGGTGATGGAGTGCCAGTGTTGGTGATTGGTTACCTGTTCTAATGTTGTTGTGGGGATGGAGTGCCAGTGTTGGTGACTGGTTACCTGTTCTAATGTTGTTGTGGTGATGGAGTGCCAGTGTTGGTGATTCGCTACCTGTTCTTATGTTGTTATGTGATGTTCTCTAATGTTGTTATGTGATGGAGTGCCAGTGTTGGTGATTGGTTACCTGTTCTAATGTTGTTATGGTGATGGAGTGCCAGTGTTGGTGATTGGTTATCTGTTCTAATGTTGTTATGTGATGGAGTGCCAGTGTTGGTGATTGGTTACCTGTTCTAATGTTGTTATGTGATGGAGTGCCAGTGTTGGTGATTGGTTACCTGTTCTAATGTTGTTGTGGTGATGGAGTGCCAGTGTTGGTGATTGGTTACCTGTTCTAATGTAGAGGTGGCAATGAAGTGCCAGTGTTGGTGATTGGTTACCTGTTCTAATGTTGTTGTGGTGATGGAGTGCCAGTGTTGGTGATTGGTTACCTGCTCTAATGTTGTTATGTGATGGAGTGCCAGTGTTGGTGATTGGTTACCTGTTCTAATGTTGTTGTGGTGATGGAGTGCCAGTGTTGGTGATTGGTTACCTGTTCTAATGTTGTTATGGTGATGGAGTGCCAGTGTTGGTGATTGGTTACCTGTTCTAATGTTGTTATGGTGATGGAGTGCCAGTATTGGTGATTGGTTACCTGTTCTAATGTTGTTGTGGTGATGGAGTGCCAGTGTTGGTAATTGGTTACCTGTTCTAATGTTGTTATGGTGATGGAGTGCCAGTATTGGTGATTGGTTACCTGTTCTAATGTTGTGGTGGTGATGGAGTGCCAGTGTTGGTGATTGGTTACCTGTTCTAATGTAGAGGTGGCAATGAAGTGCCAGTGTTGGTGGTCAGTTTCCTGTAGATGCTCTACCATTTCAGAATTGGACTTTATAATCAGGGTACAATCCAAACAGCTGACAGAGAAGGACACGAAGCGACACCTGGTGAGAAAATCCTCAGCTAGTGCTCGGGACACTGGGATTGGTAAATTTTTGCCTTCGCTCCTTACATCACCTGATTTGAATAACCATAAAAACACTATGCCATAGAATAGAAAAAGTGGAAGCATCATAGAATTTTCTCCCGTTTAACATAACTAAACAGGGTAGGAATTAAAGGTATAAGACCATCCTTACAAATCATATACATGTAATTAATTTAAATAAATTTGCAACTTTTGAAGTAAAATTTTCATAATGTACAGCTATGAAAAGCAAATCCTCAAAAACCAATGTAAGATATATAGATATTACTTTCCACTGTTCAAAACAAGAAATCAATACTCAAATTTAGCACTTCAATACACTTATGTTAAAAGATATATGTGTAATGGACTCATATTTTCAAACAAATACAATTGCATATGACAATTTTTAGCGGTTATGTATTTTGATATCAAAACAGCAGATTTCGGTAATATGATATAGATATTTTGGACAGTAATATGTTTAATAGGATGCCATCAATATCACCATTGAAAGGGTAGGCAACACGTTGATGATTGAGGTCATCAATATGGCTTTGACAACACTGATAGGAGGGGAACAGTGCCAGACACTGGGGGCAGAGATATGCAGCAACGTCCAGAGGCAACAGGAAACTAAGATGGTCAGTTACTGACTTTTGGTGCTCCACACAACTGCCGACTGTCTGCAACATCAACACAACAACAATAATAATGTTTCTCACCAAGTCAGAAGATATCTGTCTTGAATATAAAATGCTAAATCTCATCAGACTAATGAAGTGAAGATCTATATGGATTTGTTTTCCTTTTTTAAATCCAAATTAAGAAAAGTGGGAGATGCTTATTTCAATATCTCTTCACTTGGCCTTGCAGTGCCTTTAGTCTTCTTCCTTTTCATTCAAGCCCAGTCTATATGTAAAATCAGAGACGTAAACTGCTAACACAAAGAGCGTCTTTCAAAAAGAAATATGGTTAGAGAGATTTAGAACCAGGCTGAATTAATGTCCAGCATCATGCTAAATGGAATTTCTTAACCAGTACATTTTATCCTTGGTACAAGAAAACTATTCTTTCACCTTTTACTCATGTAAAACCAATGAAGTACTCACCTTAAACACTTGAAGACATTTGGGACATGCATATCCCAGTGAGGTTGTTGGTAGGCAACAGTCCTTGGTCAGGAGTAATGGATTACAAGGAGAATGGTCAAAGTTGGCTTCATGCTCAAGTATTCCACTTTTCGCGGAGAAGTCAGCACCACAATTCACTACACAACACATTGTTCCAGACAGGCTGGCTGTCACAGGAGCAGAGGTTAAAGAGTCAGGGGTTGCAGAGGCAAAGGTTTTAGAGTCAAGGGTCAACGGGTCAACTGCCATGTCAAGGTTGTCTACAGAGACGACTGAAAGGTCATGGTCATCATTAATCAGAATCTCTTCCTTGATTGTGTTTGAACAAGACTTTACACTATGTGTGGCGTCCTTATCACTGTTTGTCATATCATTTCTCTGTGTCAGACTCCTGTCTGTATTTTGGCCACAAATAACAGGTGGCAATACAGGTTTTGAAACTGCAGTGTGCTTATTAAATTCTCGGATACAAGTTCCAAGTGATATTGACTCATCAAAAAGATTACCGTCTGATTCTGAGATATCTCTGGCACAGAAACCATGTCTACTATTACGATTAGATCTCCTGGTATCAGTACGATCAACAGATATTCTATTTCTGGTGAGTCTCACTTGCTGTTGACTTTTGATGTTAGCTTGGTTTTGAAGACCACCATGTTGTGCCCTATCCAGTGACACTTGTCTTCGTCTTGGTGTTTCACTTTTATGTCTGACAGCCTGTTTTATATGCTTTTCTACTGCAGCTAGCAATAAAATAGATAGCAGTTTATCAGTATTTTCATGATTGTTGTACACTGACAAAGAGCCTTTGACAGATAAATGGTATTTCTCAAATTAATTACAATAAGATCAATTTACCTAAATGTGGAATGAATGAATTAATTTTAATTTTGATGAATACTTTGACACTAAAATTATAATTATAATCTAAGACAGAATTAAAAAACACTTCTGGAATAATTAAAATCTGATGAATCAAAAGCATGTAAAAAATTAAGTGATTTGCAATGAGTATGGAAACCAATGCAGTAATTTTGAAAACAAGAGCATCACAGGATGGAATAGCATATGTCTGTCACAGGCCAAGGTTCATGATTCATTGTTTCAAAATTAATATAAATAAGGAAATAGTAATGTTTACTTAAAACGTCGGGAGGGAAAACACCGCTGTACGTTTATATTATGAATTAAGGCATACATAGTTCTAAAGAAATGGGTCAAAACCCGAGGGAAGAAATCTTTTGATGATATTAAAATAAATAAATGGCAAAAAATCTTTGAAATATCATTGAATCAAAATGCTTTTCATGAAAACACAACCTCATGTTATGGTTTTACGGCCTGTAAGGCTTCAAAGATAAAATTCTTGACAGACCTAAAAAAGTATGAAGTGGTTACATGCAATTCTTTTTCATAACAAGAATGGCACATATATCTCATAATCCATCTTACAAATATATAACATATTCATAAAGAATGTGGATTGACAAATTTCCTTAATGATGAGAGGAAATTTACAACACAAATTCTCAACACGTGATAAAACAAGAACACCAACATGTCAGGATCACAGTCTAACTTACTGCCATGTTTCTTGGCCCACTGGTCCACAACAAACTTTGCATTTGCTATTTTTGTTGGGTCAACAACGTGCTGCTTCAGGTAACGGCTATGAAATACCTCTGCCTCTCGTTTAGCTTGTAACCTTTCCACCTGAAAGTTGAAATACACAAGTATATATCTCAATGACTACAGCCAGATGTCCTCCCATACGTTGTTACCTAAACTTTGAAAATGGTTTTTAATGAAGATAAAATATAACACATGAGTTTGTTACTGATAACATCATAATTCTAGTTCACCATTTCATTAGTGGCAAATTTAAATCAAAGCATCAGTATCAAGACGCCCCATTGGCCTAAGCTGGTATTCATTTATTCAATGATGTTGACAGACACATCAGCAAACACTTGTGGTCTTCAAAGTAGGTGAAGTTTATAAATGCTATCTTTGCAAACTACATACATTAATCAAACTAATACATACAAAGAAAAAATACCTTAGGGATTCTAATTCTTTTAGAATATATAATGTTAGACTATCAAAATTGGTAAACCCCTGGTAATACCCAAAAGTACAATTAGTGAATCTAGTAACAAGAATTGTCACAATGAATAAAGGAAACTAAAGTGAAATGCAAATTTTATCTTAATTAGATTAAAAGCCTTCTCTGAAGTACTGAAATACATCCTAGCATTATTCTGATTTATAAAAGTCTGCTCTCAAAAACACGCTGTTTTCTGTTGGTTTTCTTTTTCTCATTCTCACTGAAACAATTGTTAAGAATTAACAATTTTGCTATTACATGAAAAAAAATTATTTGAATATACTGAATAACCAAGGTTTTATAAAGTGAAGTGAACAAAAAAAAAAAAAAATATATATATATACTTGTTTCTGGCGTTCTTCATTCTGTTGTTGGAATCTGGCTTGGATGCTGTCTAAAAGGGCATGTTTCTTAGGCCCACTCATTCTGTGACTATAAACGTCCTCCTACAAAATCAGTAAGTACTGAGTAAGTATACAGTAAGATTAAATGGTTAAATATTACATATCTGTGTGAAATTGTTATTTAGAAAAATACCAAGGTAACAATGTATGTGATAAAACAGGGCACATATTCATGAAACCGTTCTCATGCTCAAGCATAGATTTTGTACTCAAGAAAACTTTTTCATAATTCACCTAAATCATATCCAATAATACAAATGTCAAATATAAACATTAAATACAGCATTTGGCTTGAAGTCCTTTCAAAATATTTTCAAATCTTTGACAAAATCAGCCTTTTTTTATTCATTTTTAACTGAAACAAGATATAAGACTTTATCACAAAATCCATGCTTGAGCATGAGAACGGTTTCATGAATACGGTTCCTGGTGTTCTGTAATAGAAGTTTTATTAAACATACAGTATCAATCCATTTGGCTATGTAAACTGTAACTTATTACATACACATGTGTAAGTAGTCAGTTATTTTGTTTATTTCAATGGTTTTCCAGTGGTAAATTTTAAAAGTTCTCTATAATATTCAATGAACAGGAGGAGTAAATTCCTATTTTGTTTTTCAAATGGAATTAACATGTCATTGTATTTATAGAGGGCCTTGTTATTAAATCAAGTTTTGTGGCCATAGGACAGATCACATCTTCCAAACTGGTGTTGGAACATAGTGATGGAACTTTGTTTGGAGTGGGGAGTGTTAGATAATAATAATTTTTATATCATTTTGCATTTTATGGATTTGTTTGTAACAGCTGGGGTCATTCAAGGCTGTGCAAGGTTTTGTGTGGTGAAGGGAAGTTGTTGAAGAAAAACCACCAATTGCAACCTGATACCAGCACCTGCCCACATAATGGTTGAATAATACACAACAACACATGAAAAATGGAGAAAGCATATGATTGACCAGGAACTTAAATCTGTATGTTAGTCTGTGTTTCGATGTGTTTATTAATGTTTTGTGTAATATTACTGACCAGGCATATAAAATATAGATCTGTCTTATACATCTCTGCAATGACATAGTTTGCTTCTTCATAAATTGATGCTAAGATAATAATCTGGTTATTTAATAAAAATCTCAATCTTCTCTAAAAGAATTTTAATTTATGTTCCCTTTTAAATAGTTTTCGGTTAAATCTAATTTTTTAAAATATATATGTTTTAAAAAAATGTATGTCCTTATCCCAAAGCACTCTAGATAACATGCTAGATAATCAAACAATTTAGACCTTTTAGCCATAGAAAACATTAAAACCCGTCCATGGTTGTTGTATATCAGTTTTGGAGTCCAGTCTCTGATTTTGATTTGAAAATTAGAATACACATCCCGCGAAAATTGAACGTTGTTTCACTGCTTCACATCACTTTACTGGAATCAAAATGATGATTGTATTAACAATGCCTAATTCATCAAGATGTGTTTAAACAATAACTACTCAATCAACACTCAAACCTAGCTCATCAAAAACTGAATTAACAAATAGACTCAAGTTGACTCTGGAATCGCCTTACTCGACAACTCAAATCTGTATCCGGAAATAATCCATCAATTGCAAATTAGTTATCACTTTAAAGTCGGAATCTTTTGCGCGATTGATTTGAAGGAGGGATAATGAGGATGACTTAAGCGTCGAAATTACGTGGTCTCCAACCTACAACCTAAACAACGACCACCAAAACAGTGTTCTGACGATGGAATTGGGTGAAGACACAGCCGAATCGGGTATACAGGAATCATTTTCATTATGCTAGTTGCATGCACTGAACCTTTGACTTTCGGTAATGTCCGCAAGGCTTCTGCATCGTACGTTTTTCATTCAGATTGGCATGGAAAAGCTTATGAACAGCTAACGTTACATGTATATCTGAGTCAAAACTGTTCATTAGATTGGGTAAAACCACGCTTACTGACAGTGTGGGTATTGCAGGATAATTCTTTTTATAGAAACGCATTAAGCTTTTCAAAACATATGCAACAAAAGGGCCTCATTTTTTACGTGAACCGATAATCGACGTGACACTTTATCTCCAATGTAAAGCCATTTGGAGATTTCATTGCAAATGTGATAGATCAGTATTAAGTTGCATGTGTTCTATTTTAAGTTGCACTATAAGCGATAAATTCATTTAGGTGATAAGTTTGTGATTTTGATAAAAAGTCAAACAACTTAATAATTCTGATCCCTTTTGTGTAAAAAATGTAAATCATTGTATTGGCTATAGCTTGTCAAAAAAATCTGAAACGTTTTGTGTTGCAAATGTTTGAAAGAACTTTGTGTTTTTATTTTATTCTTACAAATTTATTACTCAAATTAGCTAGTACATATATATAACTGTCACACAAATGCAGGTCTGTGAAAATGCATAGCATATATTACCCTATAGCGACCAGGCCATGCCAGGCAAAAGATCACAAATATTTTTCTTTCCTAGTGCTTAACAAGTCAAAACAACATATTGACCTCTTGAAGTATCCAAATAATTTGTGTTATCTATAAAACTGTAAGTGCTTGATTCAACATATCTTTCAATTGGATACATCACATGTAGATCTACAAAATGTAAGTACCAATCAAGGTTGACAGCAGGTTAAAGGCAATATAAAGGCAGGTTAAATGTACAATCATGGTTTTACCTGTATATAAACATAATTGTTTTCCTGGTAAAGCTGTTTGCATGAGGAAAGCCTTTGGTAAGGTTAAAGACAAAAGAAATTCCAAATATATATGTACATTGGCTTAGTCTGAATTACTGGTATTGGACAGATTTTCTTTTGAAAACAAGGCTTTCATAATTTTTCAATGCCTCCACTAGGGCTAGAAATGACATGCATATAGTAGACTTGTGAATGTATTCTTCTTACTTATATGATTGGTGCTGTACTGAAAAAACTGGGGAAAAAATCACGCCCACAGCCATGTTGGTAGAAGTAATGAATTCAATTTTTTTATGGTGATGGTGATGCATATCTCAGAAAAATTGTGTAGGTAACCATAATTTTGTTTTTCTTTTTGTAGTTGACTTCAAGGTTGCTGAGGTGAAGCCAGTGAGATTATCCCTGCATCTTATTCAGAAAAGACACATTAATGATGCTCAGCACAAAAGTCAGGAGGAAATGTAATTATAATTCCTGTCTTTTGAGGGGCATTGTCTTATTTCTTGTATAAACATAAGGTCATGTACACTTGTAAACACATAGTAATATTACTTAATTTATTTAATCCTTTATTGCTATCGCAGGAACACTGGATTTTAAATATTTTAATGGGCAGATATATGTTTGTCTTGTCCATCAAAATGTTTAATGTCTGGTTAAGGAGTGAGAGGATATTCAGATTACATACTGAAAAGCACATGCCAGGTTATATACTCATGAATGTCTGATACGGTTGAGTAGAAATTCTAACAAAAAGTATGTATTTCATTGCCCCTCAACGAGCCCACTCCTTATCTGAATCAAAGTATATGTGTAGGCCTCACAAGCTAACAAAGCATTTTCCTGCATGTCTGATGTAAAAATCATACCTGCTGTACCCATTGCATGATTTGTAAGTGGCCACTACATTTGGGATTAGATCTTTTTGTTTCTTTGAAACTATTGTTTTCTTCTTATTGTGTCCCTTTCCACTGCTTCAGTTTCCCCCTTAAGTTGAGCATTCATTGATTTCTGTCTTTGATTTCTCCAGACTGAGACTTACGAGTCTTCAAAAGTTTTGATCATTCTTTCATTGCAACATTGAGGTAGTGTAACAATGTTTTTGCTCATGTCTGTAAAATGTGACCAGGTGGGATGTTCTGCTGGGTGCCGTTGGCAGTATACTTCAGTATGTCAGCACTATAAAGTCAAATTGGCATTAGTTCTGCAATATTACTGGAAGACTTGCATGAACATATAACATCCTCTTGAAAACACATGCACTCACCAGGTTCTCGCCTCACATACATGGAGAGACTATAGCTGTTTATAAGTTAAGCAATATAGGACGTTATAACAGGATAATTAGTTTTTCTGTAAAACATTATTTTCACAAACAAAGTTTCAGTTAGCCTTTTAACTTTGCACAAGTTGTTGATAATCTTTGGCAGCACTTGAAATCAGCTTACCATATGTTTCCTTACTTTACTTTCAATGAGTTTTGCTTAAAATTTACTTATATACATCAGCCCTTGTATCTTTTGTCACCATGACATTTTTTTCCTCTATTGCTAGTATGTGTTATTTCCACTTGTTATTTGGTTGTGTATTTGAACCAGGTCTTGCATTTTGTCTGTAATTTTTGTCTCCATTTGTGTTTTGATTGTCTCCCCTGTATTTTATTTCTATCTCTAATGTTTAATTTTCACCTACTTTTAGACAATAGGTAGAATAAGCAGTACATAGAAGATATCTATAAAGTTGTATTCATATTGTTTCTAGTGTACAAGCTCTCAACAAAATCACCCATCTCCGACTTGATAGAGAAAATATTGGACAGATTGACAACCTTGAACTCCTGGGGGATAAAGTCACCAATGTGTATTTACAGAAGGTATGTAATTGATAAGTGTTATGTACTTAAATGTTTCAGTAAAGTCACACTGTTTCATTTTTGTGTCCCAGCCAAAGGCGATATATAGGTATTACTAAGTCAGCGACACCATCAGGTTTTTCATGATAACATGAATTCACTTTGACCGATCAACTCCAAACTTGATACAGTGCTGCTTGGGATTGGTGGTGTGTTTCTGTAGTGAAGATTGGAGGTGTGTGGTTCAGTCCTCACCTATAGTGGTTTGTGTTTTTCAGGTGAAAATCTGAGTGCATGGTTCAATCCCTCCCAATAGTGGTTTGTGTTTTCTAGGTGAAAATCTGAGGTGCATGGTTCAATCCCTCCCCATTTGCATTTCTCAGGAAGTTGAGATTACAGGTTGTTTTAATACTACTTTAGTTGTCTCAAGCAAGACATTGTTTTACAAATGTTTTTGATAGCATGCAGTGGATCTCCCACATGTTGTTCATTGAAATAACCACTAGCTGTTACAAAGAAACCCCTCAATAAAACGACCCTGGCTGTTAACAGGGCAGTAAACCCAGAAAACAAACATACAATAATAAACTGAACAATTGATGGATTATTTTCTGTTGATGTTGTCTTTCTTTTTTACAGAATAAAATCCAGGTGATACAGAACCTTGAGTGCCTTAAGAATTTGACATTCCTAACATTGGCTGACAATCAGATCAGTCAAGTGGAGGGCCTGACTCACCTCAACAAATTGCTTCTCCTTGACCTGTCTAACAATTTCATCCACCATTTCCAAATAGGTGTGTACAGAGTATTTTTAGCCTTTGTTTTTTTTTCTTGTTTTTATTTTTTTTTTTGTCATTCTGTAACATATTTTTCAAGACTTCGCCTCAAAAGATATTTTGTTACAGAATGTCAGTCCTCAATTGAGATGAATTAATCCCCAACAAATACAGGTAACAGATTCTATTAGTTATCACCTGTCAGAATTAATGTGTTTGTCAATTGGGCTTATTGTTAGGTAGTCAAGGTAAACATAAATACAAATGTACATATACATTATTTGTATATACAATGTATCTATAACAGGACTGGTGCTAACTGATAAAATTGTGTATGAAATTTTTAACAATGTACATGTTGATGTCATGTTAAAAGAGAATTCACTTTATAATTGCATCCTATCAATCTTGTATTTTCTCATGAATCTTTTTGATTTACAGAGAAACTATTGAGTATAGAGTATCTGTTTTTTCTCACTGTTTTAGATGAATTTCCAGAGTCTGTGATGATCTTAAATCTGAAGGAAAATCCATGTACTAAATTACCAGATTACAGGTAATGATTCAATTACAATATAGCTCCTAATGGATTTAATTCAGGTGCTGAATAGAATAAAAATTGTATACACTGTACATGCACAAGGATCATAAGTGCTTGTTTGAACTTTTATTCCAAATTTGATATTGTTTTTTAACTTTCTTTTAAAAAATGGATTTGGTTTGCTAAACTTACAATTAATATTTAGTTTTTACTTTTTTTTTGAAACCCCACTCCTCTTTCATACCTGAGTGGATTTCAACCAAATTTGATCTGATGCATCATTGAGTGAGGGTAATCATTTGTTAAATTCAGAATTTTTATTTGACCCCTTGGAGGTCGAGGGACAGGATCCCAAATGGAAAAGTGCTTAAATGCTTATGTGGATTTCAAACAAATTTAGTTTGAAACATCATGCAGAGTGGGTAGTCATTTCTTAAATTCAGAAAGTTATTTGACCCCTAGGGATTTGGTGATGTGGTACCAAAAGTCGAAGGTAGTCAATTATTTTCCTTCAAAATGCTACTCTTTCTTAATGTTGGAATGGATTTTAACCAAATTCTGTCCAAAACATCATTGAGGATGTGGAATCATTTCTTTGATGCAGAAAAGTTGATGAGGGTATTAAGGACTTGTGGGGGCCCTAAAAGAGGAAATTAGATAATATTATGCTTCAAAATGCTACTACTTCTTAATGCCAGGGTTTATTTCAACAAAAATTGGTTTAAAACAATATTGCAGGTTGTTAATCATTTCTTAAATTCAGAAAGTTAATTCGACCCCAAATGGGAAAGTATATTTTGCTTCAAAATGATACTCTTTCTTAATGTTTAAATGGATTTCAACCAAATTTAGTGTGAAAAATCATTGAGAGTGGAGAATCATTTCTTAAATTAGAAAGTTGATTCAACCCCTAGGGACTTAGGGGTAGGGCCCTAAAATGGGAAATTTTGTCAATATTTTGCTTCAAAATGCTACTCATCCTTAATGCTTGGATGGATTTGAACCAAATTTGATGTGAAACATCATTGAGAGTGGGAAATCATTTCTTAAATTCAGAAAAATGATTCAACACCTAGGGACTTAGGGGCAGGGCCCAAAAAGGGGAAATTAGACAAGATTTTCTCAAAATACTACTCTTTCTTATGCATGAGTGGATTTTAACCAAAGTTAGTCTGAAACGTCATGGAGAGTGGGGAATCATTTCTCAAATTCAGAAATTTGATTAACCCCAAGTTGATAGGAATTAACTTGATCCGCTTGAAATGTCACATTGATCAAATATGGTAAAATCTTTAAATGCCTTCTTCTCAATAACCAAAAGGCCAAGGGTGCTGATATTGGACCATCTTTCAAGGTTACAGTAGTCAAATGTGTTGAAATGCTTAAGCAACATCTTTTCAGTAATGGAGAGGTCAAAGGTCCTGATATTGGGCCAGTAGCTTGCTTTTTAAAAAAGCAATACATCCAAAGCATATTGAAAAGATATGATTTCGATTTGCAGAAAATGTCATGATGAACCAACAATGTAGAATAGTTGAGCAATTTATTTCGGGCCTTGTTTACCTTTTTCATGTATAGGTGTTTATAGTTAGATGACCGTAAAGCCCCATGGGCCTCTTGTTTAAGGAAAAGACAGAGATTGTTTATTGTTATTTGCCTCATCAAAACTTTAACGTAGCCATTTTGTAACATGATTGTGCAACTACTTTCATAAACAGAACCTACCATTTATGAGTTTCTGATACTTTCAAGGAATGTTCAAAATCTAAATTCATCAGATTTGTCAGACCACCATCAGCAAATTCTGTGGTTTGTCCATCCATTCATTGATTGTCAGATGACTGTTAAGGGCCATGGTCCTCTTGTTTTTTAATATTGATAGGAAAACTTATCATTGTATTTTTACAGAGGAGGGCTGATACAGGACCTTGAGAAATTGCAGATACTTGATGAAGAAGAAGTGACCACCACTGAGAAGCGTGAGGCTGGATTTGTGGTATCTAGTGATGAGGAAGAAGAAGAGGAGGAGGGGGGCATTATACCTTCCTTCACAGATGGAGGTATGGACCAAAGCTACTAGAGGCATTGTGTCTCTTGTTGCTTAAATCAGATTCAATGCTTTCTTACCTTGGGCCTTACTGCTCACCAGTTCAATGTGGCTCCCATGTAGTTTTTGTTCTATAAATAAACTCATTATGTTAAAGTTTTGGTAAGAGCCAGAGATTAGATGAAGAGGAAGTCATATGTGCTCTTATCTTGATTGGTTCAAATTAAGGCCCATAGTATTTTTTATTTCTACATGAAGGCCTGAAGGGATATTTTGTAATTCAAGATATTTTTTGACTAATCAAAAGACCAAAAGTTCTTGACCCCATTTTTTTATTGATGAAAGTTGTTCGATGTTGATAACAGTATGTTAATTTTGTTGGGATTTTATTATCCGTTGTGAAGAGACAATGTGTTTGTGGGGGACATAAGATTTGGCTACAACCATCCAACAATCCATTCAAGAAGCTTTTCTTGGCTACAATTTGAAAACAATTGATCTTGATAAAACTTTGTACCATATCAGAAAAGTGCCCTAGTTGTGACTTTTACTATATAGGAGATTTCCAAGCTTATTCTGGACTGCAACTTAAAGCTGTTCAGCTGATCTGTGCACACATTTGATATCAACAATGAAAGACAAAGATAATCTATATCAAAATATTAGTTTACTATAAGCTAGATTGGCGTGGGAGATGATACTGTACTTTGTGATTCCTACCACTATAACTTTCCGCACCCAATATCATAAAGCATTTGCTATCAGTTGTCCTCTTGGTAAGCTGTTGTCAATTTTGAGCCATCTAAGTTGTGAAAAATATAATGAGGTATTATATTCCTCTAATTGGCATTGCCAGTCAAATGTGTATTTTATCCTTTTTATCATACCTTTTGTATTATATAATCAGTTTTGTTAGAGATGATAAAAGAATTAAACAGTTCACATATTCTAAATTAAAATATGTTTCCCTTCGTATTACAGATAGTATCAGCACATGTACTTCCCGGATCCTAATGCATTCCAAGGCACGTGCTGATGAGAATTTAAAGACACATTTGGAACACACAACAGAATTAGACAATTATAGAGAAAAATTTGACCTTCCTATGTCTTCCAGGGCACAGACTCCCAGTGTCAATAAATGATGGGAAAAAAAGTACATGTATAAGTGTAGTAGCATTAGCCAACCAAACAGCTGGCCAGTTACAGAGATCAGGAAGCATATTGTTAAAAAATGTTTTAATTGCCATGAAAGTGTTATGGAGAAAACATAAAACTGTCCAATGACAAAAAATTTACAACTGTATTGATCAGGCAGAAAGCTTGTGCCTGATGAGAAGCCTACCGTATTTGTTGTTTTTAGTTCACCTGACAAGAAGGACCAGCTGAGGCTATCATCTGTTGTCCATCTGTTGTTCATCCCTTGTCCATCATCTGTCAACGTTTCCAGGGACCTGAGGGGGCGGGGCCACATGGGGAAAATCTACCAATTTTTTAAAAATCTATCTTGTTCTTCAGGAGTTGCAGGATGTTGTCCAGATTTACTCTGAAGCATGTTTGAGTGGTAGGACATCAGTGTTGTATGTATGATGGAACTGACTTTAGTTTAGATTTATCAATTTTTGCAACTTAAACCATGTGAATGATACAAGCCATATGGGCTTCTTGTTCAATAACATCAAACACAAGCACTTTTTTATTGTCCTGTAATAAGCCCACCCCTGACTTTGAGTCAGAAGTCAGTGTAGGTCCCCAGAGGTCCTGTAATATGCCCATCTCCTGACATTGAGTCGGAGCTAAATATCAACCTCCTGGGATCCATTGATGAGTCTTGAGATAAACTGAAAGTACTAAATAAATATATTTTTTTTAAATCACTGTGATATTTTTATTTCATAGCAACAAATATTGACTAATTCTCTTTGACATGGTGAGAAAAAGCAGTTCAGAAAAATGGACACTCAGCTGAACGTCAGAACATAAAAATTCTAATACTTATGTAGGAAACATTCTGTTCAGTGTATCTATTAAATATGTAATACAACAGATTTTAGGAAAGACAGTTACCAGGTCAACATGTGGCGTGAATATGTCATAATAAGTAACAGAAAATGGGTAGAGAAATACAGAGGAATCGTTGTACCCGGTATTTCTCCTGCTACAAGCCCATGATGCCAACCATACTACCTGTAAAGTCAGGTTATAGGCTTATTACCAGAAATGTTTAGTCATTTACCCTACAGTACAAAAAATTACAAGATATATGTAGTGTAGAAATAAGCATATCTTTGAGTATTAATGCTCCATTATCTTACATTTCACATCACATTTCCTGTTATCATAGATTAAGCTGTGCCTTACCAAACAAATTTTAAATACATTTTATGATATTTGAATTTCTTTTAGACATTTCAACCTTTATAAAAATATTTTTAAGTACAAATTGAAATATTTTATTTTGTCCTGTAGCATAGTTATAACATATATTGATCTTATCAGACATACCACACTGTATGTAAAATTTTGAGGTTTTGTACACACCAGGGTTACGTACTCCCTTTACAGGGCAGAATCTGCCCTTTAGTTTACAGGGGTTACAATAAGCTATTTATTATTGCCAGATTCCTATACTAACACCAAAATAATGAAGGAATTATTTTTACAATATCATTATATCATTTTATCATATCAATATCAGTATGGCATCACTATTTACATGACATTAACACATCATGATGTCATCAATATGTCATCATAATTATGACATTATAACATATTCATGACATCTGTCATAGCAATGCCTCATTACTTTTGTCATCATTATACTAATACGTCATTTTTTGTCATCATCATCACCATTGTAGGACCTTGGGCTTACTAGACTATGTATTGATGTTGACGATGTCCACTGATAATGATGAAATACTGATGTCATTATGATATTGATAGAATTGTATAATGATGTTGAAAATGATGTGTAATTGCGATGATGATGATGATGATGATGATGATGATGATGATGATGATGATGATGATGATGATGATGATGATGATGATGATGATGATGATGATGACGATGATGATGACGACGACGACGACGACGCCATCATTAATGTGTATGTATAATATGTGATTTTTTTCCAAAAATAAAACATGAACATTTGGCTTACTTGACTAACACTTTCTTAAGGTAAGGAGAGAGAGTTCTCCAGCTCTCAATATAGTTATCCATGATTTTCAACTAAGTGTTAATTTCACGTAGAAAGGTTAAACATGTATTAATTACACTTGTTTATCTTTGTTTGAAATGACAGTAATTCCATGTATCTATCTGTGTTATAATGACAGTAATTACATATGTAATTACATATGTCTATCTGTGTTATAATGACAGTAATTAGATGTGTCTATCTTTGTTATAATGACAGTAATTACATATGTCTATCTGTGTTATAATGATAGTAATTACATGTGTCTATCTTTGTTATAATGACAGTAATTACATGTGTCTATCTGTGTTATAATTACAGTAATTACATATGTCTATTTGTGTTATAATGACAGTAATTACATGTGTCTATCTGTGGCATAATGATAGTAATTACATGTGTCTATCTGTGTTATAATGACAGTAATTACATGTGTCTATCTGTGTTATAATTACAGTAATGACATGTGTCCATCTGTGTTATAATGACAGTAATTACATGTGTCTATCTGTGTTATAATGATAAAAATTACATGTGTCTATCTTTGTTATAATGACAGTAATTACATGTGTCTATCTGTGTTATAATGACAGTAATCACATGTGTCTATCTTTGTGAAAATGAAAGTAATTTTACGTGGCTATTTTTGTTCAAATGACAGTAACTTCATGTCTCAATCTATGTGGAATTTACAATAATTTTCTACAGAGTATGTGTTCATAGTTAACAGGAAAAGTTTGGTTTTAAACATTTAACCTTTTGCCTTTTTGGCCTTTTAGTCAAAAGGGCAAAAAAGATCTGGTGGTTAGGCAACCATTACTAGATGATGGCTGTATTCCAATTGCTTTTTGTTCACTGGCCAGCCAGCCATCATCCTACCATTGTTCTCTCCGTCTTAGATCAATTTTAATTGTGCATATATAATGTAGGGACAGATCAGGAAAAGATAATGGCTGTCAGACAGCCATCTTGGATTTTGACAATGAAAAGTTGTTATTACTATTCTTAAGAAGTACTGGATGGATCAAAATTCCTTTGTAGGTTCCCCATGGTCATCCTAGTTGTGAAATTTTTATTTTGAGACTGATCCGAAAAACAAAATATCCAACAGTTACCATCTTGGATTTCACAGTTAAATATTATCACTATTCATTAGAAAAATTTTCCAATTTTCATAATTAAGAACAAAATCAGGAATGAGAGAATAGGACGGGAAAACAGTTATGGACAAGGTTAAAGTTGACAGCAGACAAACAAACAGACAACACAAATACAAAATGCCCCCAATCTTTTGACCCCAGGCATAAAAATCCCAACTTTTTACGGAACAAATTATGATCAAAGAATGGTTGGGGCCAAGATCCCTCTGGGATCTCACCTGTATGTATATTTAACAACATATTTTACTCTGGTGAAAAATGAACATTATACAAGGGCAAAAATAGCCCTTAGGCATATATTTCCTTGTACATGTACATAAATTATTATGTATCAGTCTTTGTCAAAATGATCATAATTTCATGTGTCAAACAAACCAGATTTTACATATCAGAATTATATTTAGAACATTCCCACCTTTATTAAAATGAAAACCCATTGTAATAGTAATTTTGTGTGCCATACTAAACAAATAGTATGTATCAAAATTGCTTTTATATACTGTAAACACTTCCACCATAATCAAATTGAAGTTAATATTATGTGACAGATCATTAGAAAATACACATCAGAATCATTTTAATACTACACAATAACTGTTTCTACATTTATCAAATTGAGATTAAGTATCATCCAACGAAAGAGTAAAATTGGAATCACTTTTATACTCAATAATTATTCCTACATTTATCAAATGGAGGTTAATGTCATTTTACAGTTGATTAAAATATCATGTACCTATAAGAATTGAAATCACTTTTATATAATATAAACATTCCCATTTTTATCAGTGTAAGTCTGTTTTGTGTTAAATATTGTTTTAATAATGACACAGCTCCCATGAAAATGTCACGCATAATGTCATTACCATTTATCTACAGTCCTTACGACTGTCCAAGATCTTTTTATCTAAAGCCTGCTCATATGGACATATGACAGTGAATTTAGGTACTTTCTACAAATATTGTTTTCAGTGTACATATCAAAATTAATTCTAAAACTGCAAATATATTTATATCAATATTTATTAAGGTTTGAGGTGCATATATTTAATTAAGAAAAGTTTTGTTTACAATGTCCTTGTTACTGTTATGACTGCAAACTTCAATATAGATTTATCTAAGTCCATGTTTTGACATTATCACCTAAAAGTAAATGCTATGGATACATAGCAAAGAGTTGACAATAAATTGACAAAGTAAAAAAAAAAGTGTTCTAGTGTGGTTTTCTTTCTCTGATTTATTTGTGTTAATTGAATTGTGATTTTACGAAGTTCTAGTGTTTACTGAAATATAGAATACAACTGACTATTTAGTAATTGTAAGCCAGTCGTGCATTCATGCAGCACAAACCAGCTCCAGCGAAATTACCCATATTTATTACTGCATGAATGAAACTTTCACCACTGTATTTTGTGGAAAAGATATGCTTAAGAATCTCCCATCCAACTCCTGAAGAAATGGGACGAAATTGATATTTTTTTGTTAACTCTTAAAACAAAATCCAACAGGAACGTGATCAGCATCTTTTCATATTACAAAATTCTAGTCCCAATATGTCTATTCAAAATTGAGAAAATATGATGAAAGTAATGATTCTTGAAATTTTCCAAGTTCAAGGGCCATGATATAACTCTACATAGGAAGATATCATTATGTATTACACGTTCCTGACACGAATCAGAACAAAATCATACACTGAATTGTCATATAAAGGCAGTGCTTGTGTATAGGGCTGTCACTGCCAGCCTCTGTACACATTACGAAGTGTTTCTTGAATTGAATGTCATTATGAGGAGTGAATTTGACAAATTTTAATGTATCGACAGATATCAAAGTTTGAGAAATACAAAAACTACTGACTCAAAACCCATATTCCTGATTTAGAATCTAAGGTAGTGCCCCTTCACCAGAAACAATGTTTCAACTGCTCTTTTGCTGGTGGCACCACAAGGTATTCACCATCGTCTGAATCGGTCAGAAGAAAACACTGAGAGTTAGACAGGTCATAAATCGCAAATATTTGCTAATACTAACAGGGTTAATGAAAGAAAAAAAAATAATGAAATATGTTCAGATTCTCGATGTTGTTATGACCTCATGAATGTTGATAAAAAAATAAGTATATCCTTCCCTGATTAAAAAGATAAAGTTGAGAAAAAAACAAAACCTACAAAAACAAAAAGCACACCCTATCCCTTCAAAAAAATAAAGATGATTAAAAGATATACATATAATCAATCTGTGGTGAGCCTCGAAACCATTTAATTTTGGTCACTCAGTCTGCGATCATATCAACGCATGCGCATTTCTCATGGAAACCAAATAATATCCGGAGGAAAAAAACAGGTAACACAGTTTTATACTTACCGAATTTGAACATCTGCAGGTATGTCTCAAAAACTTTATCATGTTTTACGATAAATAAATATAACAGTTACTTAATTGAATATTCTGACGGCGAACATTCTCTAGTTGACTTACCCATCACCATACAGTCTCTATTGAATTATACGTTCCGCTTTCTTTTCCGATTCCATATATATAACACCTGTTATGTCGTTGTTGAGGAAGCTATTCTAATTCCAGCAGCGAAGATGTCGAAAGCGAAACCCAAAGCAAAGACGGTCGAGGATTTGATGAAGAAAACCCTATGTGAGTAAAAACGAACATGTCTTAACGTGGTACATTTTGAAACAATCTCAATTAGACAATCTCGAACGGAACTCGCGGTCTTGTGTCTAGACCATGGTGCAGAAAACTCTCTCAACCAACAACTCGCTATCGATCGTACACAACTCCACATTTATATATAAGATTATTTTTAGAAGGTAACAGGTAAAGGAAAACTATACTAATCTTCCACACGGGCATCCCAATGATATATCAGAAACAAATACAAAGAATCAGTCAGGTACCTTTAGGTCTATACAACGCTGACAACATGGAAGAACCTTAAGAGATCTATGATGTTAGAGGTAGCAATGGCAAACATTTATTATGAATACGATGACACTCACTTCACTTTCAGAAAGCCGCCTACACAAACATACACACATTTTCTTTCCAAGTGTTAGGATTATGCTATATATCCCATTGATATACACATGTAATATAAGATAAATATTTTTCTATTCATATTTTTAAAGTCTCATTTCATTTCAACATTTTATAATTTTAAATGAATGCTGTTGTAGTAGGTCCTAACACAGAATCAGAATACAATATATGGATTCATATGAGTAGCATATACAAGTACATCATTTATTTTCACAAATGGACAACATACCCTATCAAAAGCTCTATTTGTTAAATTAATTTGTTAGAGTAAAGAAGACAAATTTATTTTAATTCATGTATTACAAATTATCATTCAGTAATCTTTTAGTATCCATTTGCTTGTTATCATATTCTGTTTATGGATAGGTTTAAATTTAATGCACTCTCTTCCATTTTTCTTTAATAGAAAATGTATGTTTTCCATTTGTCAGTTGTAGGGATTTCCCTCCTTAATTTACAAACACACACACATATATATGTATAGTATTTTAAAACAAAGAACAAAAAATTGATTTCACAATCAAGCAAAAACTAGTATTCTACATTTTGATCTCAATAGATTCAATACAGATGACCAAAGAGATTGAATCTCACAACATTCGTGCATTAAATGTAATCAAGTTTTTCTTCCCTTACACAATCGACCATACAACTTGACTGCTTTTGCTTGTACATGCATGTAATGTACGTTTTCAAAAAAATAATAATTGTACTTATACGATCGTACTCTATAGTATTATTTATATACATGAAATATAGAAGAGGGAAATGCATCTTACCAAAACAATATATGTAATCAGATTTAGATGGTAAATAGGTTTTCACAATAGCTTCTGATACTGCCTTAATTTTCACTGATATGTTTGAGAAAGTTTAAATAATGCAAACAATAATAAGACAATAAACAGCACATCAGTTAATCTAAAGCTATACAACTCATTGTATGTTGTTGGATGGAAATGTTAAGTATACTGTAATCAAAATACAATGTGACTAAACTGCAGATCCTAAATCCTGCTCCGTTACTCTCTGCATTAGGATCTGATAACATACCATAAGGGGTCACTTCCTTGTGAACATTTCAGTTAGCCAATCTAATTATTAACTTTATGGAAACTTGAAAGTTAATGAAGATGGGCAAGAATTATGAGCTGCATTTTAATCAGATTGACCGTAATATTTCCCCACTAAAACCAGGAAGCATATATCACAGTTAAAATGAGCATAGCTTGAGTGGTCACTTGCAAAGCAAGCCCTAGACCAAAGATAATAGATGTAAAGAAAAAAAAATAGAAATACTTCAGTCATAAAGACATGGAAGTGGCAGTCCCAGTAAGGTAGCAGGAAACAGTAAATTTGCATGTATATACGTTTATAAACTGTGTAACAGTCACAGTTAAATTAGAGAAATAAAAATTTTGTAAACAAAAATTTTCCATTCAAATATATTATCTTGTTCTTGACATCATAGTAATTGATAACTTCACTTGGCTTTGTCATGATTCATATTAACTTCACATGGAAACCTGCTCATACATCTCTTTAGTTTTTGTACCAGAGCACAGATGTTTTGCTGAATGATAGTATCATGATTATAAGATGGACATATTAGTATTGACCTTTCAATAAAGCCCTCAAATACTCGGGCAATAAGTCCATTCATAGACCTTGTATATAATGCATTTCCAGTAAAAATGCAAACATACACTTAATCAAAAAAGACTTTTCCTTGTAATGTCTGTTATTCATCATGGTTTCCATTTTTTTAACCAGATTTTTATATTACATATACTGTATTTGTTTCTTGTCACTGGTTAATAGAAGGATAATCATGTGATATTTTCAGTTACGAAAGATGCTATTGAGTGTTTGCTGAAGATGTTCAAGAAGTATACCTCAAAAAATAAGAAGGTGGACAAGAGCAAGTTTCAAGATATGCTGTATGCGGAATTCGCATTTACACACGATTTATTGATGGAAAGAAGTAATGTATCATTTTAATTTTTTATGGTTTTAATGTTTTATATCTGTCACTGTCTCACCTGGTCTCATCAGGTTCACCTGATATTGGCCTTATCATGACATGTTCGTATTAAAAAAAATGCTGAAAAGCATCATCTGATATTCTTTTACATGAATCAATTTTTGAAAATTTCAAACCTTTTGGACCAAATATATTAAAATGTCTTGAAAACTAACATAGAACATCATTTATTTGTATAACTAAGAATTTACATAATAGAATTAATTGATTATGGCATCTTGTTCCTTGATGACCTTTAAAATATCTTTTTACAATTGATTTTGAAGGGATACATGACCAGATATTAGATATTCAGATGGCGACAGGTTGGCAACAATGTCAATCCTTTTTAATGTTGTTATGAAGTTTAATTTGATTTCAGACATATCAAGATACATTCATGTGTACTAACTTTGATATCAATATAAGATACATACCAAACTTCTCTTATATCTTATATCAAATCAACCACCCTGTTTATGTTTTTATCTACATTGTGCAATGTCTACTCTGTACCCATCAACATTGTACCCTGTCAACACTGTACACTGTCTACACTGTACCCTGTCTACACTGTATTCTGTCTATAATTTACCCATCAACACTGTACCCATCAACACTGTACCCTGTCTACACTGTACCATGTCTACACTGTACCCTGTCTACACTGTACCCTTTCTACACTGTACCCATCAACACTGTACCCATCAACACTGTACCCTGTCTACACTGTATTCTGTCTATAATTTACCCATCAACACTGTGCCCTGTCTACACTTTACCCTGTCTACACTGTACCCATCAACACTGTGCCCTGTCTACACTGTACCCTGTCTACACTGACAGGGTGTCTACACTGAACCCTGTCTACACTGTACCCATCAACACTGTGCCCTGTCTACACTGTACCCTGTCTACACTGTATTCTGTCTATAATTTACCCATCAACACTGTGCCCTGTGTACACTTTACCCTGTCTACACTGTACCCATCAACACTGTGCCCTGTCTACACTGTACCCTGTCTACACTGACAGGGTGTCTACACTGTATCCTGTCTACACTGTATTCTGTCTATAATTTACCCATCAACACTGTGCCCTGTCTACACTTTACCCTGTCTACACTGTACCCATCAACACTGTGCCCTGTCTACACTGTACCCTGTCTACACTGACAGGGTGTCTACACTGTACCCTGTCTACACTGTATTCTGTCTATTATTTACCCATCAACACTGTGCCCTGTCTACACTGTAACCATCAACACTGTACCCTGTCTACACTGTACCCTGTCTACACTGTATTCTGTCTATAATTTACACATCAACACTGTGCCCTGTCTACACTTTACCCTGTCTACACTGTACCCATCAACACTGTGCCCTGTCTACACTGTACCCTGTCTACACTGACAGGGTGTCTATAATTTCTACACTGTCTACAACCCTGTCTACACTGTACCCATAAACACTGTGCCCTGTCTACACTGTACCCTGTCTACACTGTATTCTGTCTATAATTTACCCATCAACACTGTGCCCTGTCTACACTTTACCCTGTCTACACTGTACCCATCAACACTGTGCCCTGTCTACACTGTACCCTGTCTACACTGACAGGGTGTCTACACTGTACCCTGTCTACACTGTACCCATCAACACTGTGCCCTGTCTACACTGTACCCTGTCTACACTGTATTCTGTCTATAATTTACCCATCAACACTGTGCCCTGTCTACACTTTACCCTGTCTACACTGTACCCATCAACACTGTGCCCTGTCTACACTGTACCCTGTCTACACTGACAGGGTGTCTACACTGTACCCTGTCTACACTGTATTCTGTCTATAATTTACCCATCAACACTGTGCCCTGTCTACACTTTACCCTGTCTACACTGTACCCATCAACACTGTGCCCTGTCTACACTGTACCCTGTCTACACTGACAGGGTGTCTACACTGTACCCTGTCTACACTGTATTCTGTCTATTATTTACCCATCAACACTGTGCCCTGTCTACACTGTAACCATCAACACTGTACCCTGTCTACACTGTACCCTGTCTACACTGTATTCTGTCTATAATTTACCCATCAACACTGTGCCCTGTCTACACTTTACCCTGTCTACACTGTACCCATCAACACTGTGCCCTGTCTACACTGTACCCTGTCTACACTGACAGGGTGTCTACACTGTACCCTGTCTACACTGTACCCATCAACACTGTGCCCTGTCTACACTGTACCCTGTCTACACTGTATTCTGTCTATAATTTACCCATCAACACTGTGCCCTGTCTACACTGTATTCTGTCTATAATTTACCCATCAACACTGTACCCTGTCTACACTGTATTCTGTCTATAATTTACCCATCAACACTGTGCCCTGTGTACACTTTACCCTGTCTACACTGTACCCATCAACACTGTGCCCTGTCTACACTTTTCCCTGTGAATGTTGTACCCTGTCTACACTGTACCCTGTCTATACTGTACCATGTCTACACTGTTCCCTGTCTACACTTTACCCCGTCTACACTGTACCCTACCCTGTGTATTCTGTACCCTGTCTACAATGTGCCCTGTCTATGCTGTACCTTGTCTACACTGTAACCTGTATACACTGTTCCCTGTCAGCACTGTGCCCTACCCTGTCTACACTGTACTCTGTCTACACCATACCCTGTCTAAACTGTACCCTGTCTGCACTTTTCCTTGTGAATGTTGTACCCTGTATACACTGTTCCCTGTCAGCACAGTGCCCTACACTGTCTACACTGTACCCTGTCTACACTGTACCCTACACTGTACCCTGTCTACACTGTACCCTACACTGTACCCTACACTGTACCCTGTCTACACTGTACCCTACACTGTACCCTGTCTACACTGTACCCTGTCTACACTGTACTCTGTATACACTGTATCATGCTACAGTGTAACAAACTAAAGATTGCATCTTGTGAAAATCATATACCAGCTGCAGCTTACCTTAAGTTTTGTAGATTAATGACATTTTCATAGATTAATAGATTCACGACTTTATTTTTAGTTTTCACAGCCTTTGACTCAGACGGTGATGGATTCATTGATGAAGAGGAATGGGTTATTGGCTTCAATATTTATCTAGCAAATGGCATTGATGAAAAGAAAATGAAATGTAAGTATTTTCAGAAATTCAGAAATTTTGTTAAATCAATGCCAGTAGTATCACCTTAATTCAAATATGTTGGATAACTTAGCTCAGGATTAATGATGTCATAAACCAATGTATTTTTTGTTGTTACTGATGTCATTATTGTGTCATGGTAAGTCAGGGTCTCATTAACAGTCCATTTGATAAATCTGTTAATTCTGTTATACAAGTTGTTTCTTTTGGTAGACAGAAAAAAACCAAACTGCTCTCAATACTAGTAAGTAACCATGGCAAAAACAACAAATCTGTCAGTTTTTAGACTTTTGTATTTATTGCTTAAATATCTTAGTCAAGCTGATTTAGTTTATGAATATTGTGTATACAAAATACAAGTAAGTTTGGGTAGGGTTCAAGTGATGCCCCTATGAAGGACCATAAAATATACAGTGTACCATACAGGTAAATCAATTAAATATCTATTTAGTAAGAAAATATGTATTTTCTGAAATTTTACATTCTGCCAACAGTTGCATTTCGTGTCTATGACTTGAAGAATGAAGGGGTCTTCACTAGGGAATCAATGTACTATTTCTTGAAGGACTGTTTTTACAAGGTAAGACTTATTTAAAGGTTATGGTTGCACTTAAACAAACCTCAAAGTGATATCTCAACAAGGGCCATGGTAAGACCTATACAAAGGTCAAGTCAGTACAAAAACAAATGTCAAGGTGATACTTAAACAGGGGTCAAGGTTATATCTAAACAAGGGCCAAGGTGATACTTAAACAGGGGTCAATGTGATATCTAAACATGGGTCACGGTGATATCTAAACAAGGGCCAAGGTAAGACCTAAACAAATTTCAAGACAGTACAAAGACAAATGTCAAGGTGATACCTTAAAAAAGGCCAAGGTTATAACTGAACAAGGTAATACATAAACATAGGTCACGTTAGTACTGAAACAAATTTTCAGGTGATACTTAAACAAAGGTGTTGGTAAGACCTAAACAAAGGTCAAGGTGAGAACTAAGCAAGATCAAGGTGATACTAAAACAGAGGTCAAGGTCATGCCAAAGCAAAGGTCGAGATAAGACTTATTCCAAGTTCAAAGTAATTCTTATCCAGAGGGCTTGATAAACATTTACTCATTAATTAGTTACATGCATGTTAATTGGTTTTCTCAGTAAACTTGTGTACAAGTTATATTAAGTTGAAATAATTAGGATAGATGCTTTTGACTTTGCAGGCTGTTATAGAAGAAGACCCAGATGAAGCACCCAAAGATTTAGTAGAAATGATGATGAAAATGATGGTAAGTCTATTTAGGACGTAAGCCCAGAAAAAGTAGCATCCTGCATCTGATCTCCACAAGAGACCAACTGTAATTTGCTTATTATGAAGTATTTCTAGTGTAATGAAACCTTTCATTTTTCTTGAACTTTTTGAAACTTTTTAGCTCACCTTGCCCCACTGAGTGAGCTTATGGTATATTGTGGCCAAGTATCCATTAACTTTTTCTACAAATCAATACTGGTCATGATGAACAGAGCAAATTTAGTTAGAAGCATCCTTGGGAGTAGGGAAATCAATTTCGTTTTTATAAATGGTGTGTTTTTACCCCCTGCAACAGGAAGGTTGGGTCAAACATGAGACATTAAAGATATTCTTTAAAATCCTACTCTTCCTGTCAGAAAAATTGGATTTTGCCCAAATTTGGTCTGATACATGCTAGGCTGCAAATGAATTAATTTTGTATAAATAATAGGTCTCAAATCCTTGGGGTGGGTCACAAATGGGGAAATACAACACTTTCTTTAAAATTGTTCTCATTCTTTAGGAATGAATTGGTGCATCTGATCTCCATTGGACAGAGAAGTTGGGTATTTAAAGGGAAAATAGATGTATCACTTAAATGATTTTCATTTAGTTTAGATGAAGCAATTTCAGGGAACTTAAGTAGGTTAGTGATACAGGCCCCGTTCGCCTCTTGTTTGAATATGAAAACAATCTAACTGTAAGCTATAAATCTATTACCACAGTTCATCTGAATATGAGCATTTCACTGATAAAATAGTTTATAAACATTTGAATAGTATATTTGTATCCCTTTGTATTTATAACTTCAAGGAGATATACTTTAATAGTGAACATGTGTCTTCTTTTATATTTTAGGATAAAGGGAAGGTCCAGAAAGTGTCATATGAAGACTTTGAATCTGCTGTTAAAAAGGAGAGCCTGCTTTTAGAGTTTCTTGGATATTTTTTCCCTGAAAAAAAGGTAGGTTTTTAGCTCAAATGGTCCATAGGACAAACTGAATTATAGAAATACTGTGGCATATGTTGTCTGCCCAATCGTCTGTCATCCATCCATCAACTTTTCTACAAATCACTATTTTGCACAAATTTGTTATGCAGCATTCTAGAGGGAAGGTGCAGAAATTTTGTACAAACAATGAGTATTGGTCCCATGGGAAGTGACAGGCAGGATCCAAAGGGGAAATAGAGTAATTCTTTAAAAACTACTCCTCCTGTAGGAATGATTGGTTTTTGTCCAGATTTGGATTGAAGCATTCTTGGCAGAAGGGGAACAAATTTATATTAATATTGGATGTTGGCCCCCTTGAGTGGGATTGGCAGGGTGCAATGGGGGAAATAGCATATTCTTTAAAAGCATACTCCTCCTGAAAGCGGAGCAATTTTTTTTTACAAAAGAGGGGTCCTTGAAACTAGAGGGATAGGACCTATTAGGGGAAGTAGAGCAAATTCTTTGAAATCCAACTCCTCCTGTAGCAATGATTGGATTTTTACCAAATTAAGTCTGTAGTATCCTTTGGGGAAGCAAAGCAGTCTTTGTATAAATGTTAGATCTCAGCCACAAGGGGGCCTGAGGGGACAGTGCCCAATAGGGGAAATTAAGCAAATTCTTTGAAATCCTACTCCTGAGGGAAATATGGTCTGATATACACTTGGGTAAATCTAAATCAGTTTTGTATAAAGGATATAGTGTGTGTTGTATGGTTGGAAATTTAGAATTCCTTTTCCTTAGTATGGATGTAGCCATTTCAGCAAAACAAAGCCAGAAATGTGACACAGGACCTATGGACCTCTTTTCTATCAAGTCATTATTTGTTCCTGTTTCAGTTATACTTGAAACTTCTGATCTGAATATTTGCTAGGCCCTGGGTTCATCCTCTTCTAAAACTCTATCAATTCAAAGTTTTGCCCAATTGAACCTATGTTCCCATTCACCCATATGTGAGACAGGTATGCACACTGATCAGACTTCAACTAAAGCACATGACTCTTGTGTAGCTAGTCAGACCTATTCAGTCCAGTTCCACTATAACCCTCTAGTGTCTAGAATCAGTCTAGTTCAGCTACCCAGATACATTCCTTTCATCTTCCAGGATCAGTCTAGTTCTGCCACCCAGATACATTCCTTTCATCTTCCAGACTGATTAAGTTTGGTTCAGCTGCCCAGATACATTCCTTTCATCTTCCAGGATCAGTCTAGTTCTGCCACCCAGATACATTCCTTTCATCTTCCAGACTGATTAAGTTTGGTTCAGCTGCCCAGATACATTCCTTTCATCTTCAAGGCTGATTAAGTCTGATTCTGCTACCTGGCTACATTTCTATCATAATGAGGAGTTTTGTTTCATTTACTATTAATGAAAAATTAAAAACAAAGCCCAACATTTTCCAGCTGAGTACCAATTATAAATGAAGGTAACATGTGATATCTAGGGAGAGACTCTTTATTGTACTCCAAACTTAATTGTACTCCAAACCCTATTGTACCGTACTCCAAATTTATTGTACTCCAAACCCTATTGTACTCCAAACTTTATTGTACTCCAAACCCTATTGTACTCCAAACTTTATTGTACTCCAAACCCTATAATTGTACTCCAAATTTTATTGTACTCCAAACCCTATTGTACTCCAAACTTTATTATACTCCAAACCCTATTGTACTCCAAACTTTATTGTACTCCAAACCCTATAATTGTACTCCAAACTTTATTGTACTCCAAACCCTATTGTACTCCAAACTTTATTGTACTCCAAACCCTATTATACTCCAAACCCTATTGTACTCCAAACTTTATTATACTCCAAACCCTATTGTACTCCAAACCCTATAATTGTACTCCAAACTTTATTATACTCCAAACCCTATTGTACTCCAAACTTTATTGTACTCCAAACCCTATAATTGTACTCCAAACTTTATTGCACTCCAAACCCAATTATACTCCAAACTTTATTGTACTACAAACCCTATTGTACTCCAAACTTTATTGTACTCCAAACCCTATTATACTCCAAACCCTATTGTACTCCAAACTTTATTATACTCCAAACCCTATTGTACTCCAAACTTTATTGTACTCCAAACCCTATAATTGTACTCCAAACTTTATTGTACTCCAAACCCTATTATACTCCAAACTTTATTGTACTCCAAACCCTATTATACTCCAAACTTTATTGTACTCCAAACCCTATTATACTCCAAACTTCATTGTACTCCAAACTTTATTATACTCCAAACTTTCTTGTACTCCAAACTCTATTATACTCCAAACTTTATTGTACTCCATATTCTATTGTACTCCAAACTCTATTGTACTCCAAACTCTGTTGTACTCCAAACTCTGTTGTACTCTAAACTCTATTCACGCTGTTACTGCACTATTTCCTGACCTAGAGTTCAGCTTTACTTTACACATGTGGCCTCACCTGAACACTATACTGCATACAAGGGAACTTTCATTACAATTTTTGTCTGTTTTGCCTCATTTGCCAATTGAGAAATAAAATGGACCGAATTTGGATTTTAAATCTAAAAAGATATATGTTTTATGTTTTTATCTTGAACATGAAAACAGTTATATGTGAGGGTTACAGTTATTGGGATGGATGTGATTTCTGATGCTGCTGGTCAACAGGGTCAGTAAGTATATCAAATTAATTTTCTGACTTTTTTTTACAGTATGCTGACAAGTTCTGCACTTTAATTGGTGGGGGTAAAAATCCCTGGAGAATTTAAAAGCATGCTACCAATCAAAGCACCAACAGCAAGAAACAAAAGGAAGTGATGAAAACAACAGGAAGTGATGTCATTGTTTTGGAATGTGATACTGATCCACACAACCAATAGAAAATGAGGTTAATTTTATAGCTGCACCAACAAATAGAAAACATTATTATGTTTAATATGTTATGAGGTCATGATGTATTTGGCTTTATTGGGACAAAAGTGGTTTCTAGTATTGTGAAATTTCTTATCATTTTGTTTATTTTATCAAAGTGGAAAATTCAAAACAAAATATAAGACTAGAATATGCAATTAACAATGTTTTACAATAATTAAGAATCCATGTAAAACTAATTATATCCCATCCTAGGACAAGTCTGGTTATGGTACAGTAATACTAATTATATCCCATCCTAGGACAAGTCTGGTTATGATATAGTAATAATAATTATATCCCATCCTAGGACAAGTCTGGTTATGGTACAGTAATACTAATTATATCCCATCCTAGGACAAGTCTGGTTATGGTACAGTAATACTAATTATATCCCATCCTAGGACAAGTCTGGTTATGGTACAGTAATACTAATTATATCCCATCCTAGGACAAGTCTGGTTATGATATAGTAATAATAATTATATCCCATCCTAGGACAAGTCTGGTTATGGTACAGTAATACTAATTATATCCCATCCTAGGACAAGTCTGGTTATGATATAGTAATAATAATTATATCCCATCCTAGGACAAGTCTGGTTATGGTACAGTAATACTAATTATATCCCATCCTAGGACAAGTCTGGTTATGATATAGTAATAATAATTATATCCCATCCTAGGACAAGTCTGGTTATGGTACAGTAATACTAATTATATCCCATCCTAGGACAAGTCTGGTTATGATATAGTAATAATAATTATATCCCATCCTAGGACAAGTCTGGTTATGGTACAGTAATACTAATTATATCCCATCCTAGGACAAGTCTGGTTATGATATAGTAATAATAATTATATCCCATCCTAGGACAAGTCTGGTTATGGTACAGTAATACTAATTATATCCCATCCTAGGACAAGTCTGGTTATGATATAGTAATAATAATTATATCCCATCCTAGGACAAGTCTGGTTATGGTACAGTAATACTAATTATATCCCATCCTAGGACAAGTCTGGTTATGATATAGTAATAATAATTATATCCCATCCTAGGACAAGTCTGGTTATGGTACAGTAATACTAATTATATCCCATCCTAGGACAAGTCTGGTTATGATATAGTAATAATAATTATATCCCATCCTAGGACAAGTCTGGTTATGGTACAGTAATACTAATTATATCCCATCCTAGGACAAGTCTGGTTATGATATAGTAATAATAATTATATCCCATCCTAGGACAAGTCTGGTTATGGTACAGTAATACTAATTATATCCCATCCTAGGACATGTCTGGTTATGGTACAGTAATACTAATTATATCCCATCCTAGGACAAATCTGGTTATGGTACAGTAATACTAATTATATCCCATCCTAGGACAAATCTGGTTATGGTACAGTAATACTAATTATATCCCATCCTAGGACAAGTCTGGTTATGGTACAGTAATACTAATTATATCCCATCCTAGGACAAGTCTGGTTATGATATAGTAATAATAATTATATCCCATCCTAGGACAAGTCTGGTTATGGTACAGTAATACTAATTATATCCCATCCTAGGACAAGTCTGGTTATGGTACAGTAATACTAATTATATCCCAACCTAGGACATGTCTGGTTATGGTACAGTAAAACTTATTACAACCAGTCTGTAGTTTAGTCTTTATATTGGTGCCTTTTTTATTCATTAGATATATGTTATTATATACTTAGATAGATATATATTTTGTAGATAGAATTTTTATTCAGTTGTAATATAGTATACAATGTATATTTAAAATGTATGTATGATGATTCCTTTTACAGAATGACCTGTAAATGGAAATTAAACTCCTAAAATTACTGTTTATATGATTTTTTTATTGAGAAAAATAATATTGAATGATATTTTTGATCAACTATTTTAGGTCAGAAAGAATTAAAGGTTTAGATTTTGATATTAGTGTGATTGTTCATAGATACTGATTTTACTGATTTTATTGAACTAAAAAGAACCAGCTTTATGAAAACAATAATATCTTTGCAAAATTAAGACAGAAATATGAAATCATGCCATAGATTTACCACATAGAGATGAAATCAGTCACAATGAGACTCTAATAGTAATGCACAGAGTAATCCACATTTCTTAGAAATTAAGGGGAGATAATCTTGTTTGGTACAATTTACAGATACATTGTGGTATTTGTCCACAACACAAATAATAGATTTGGTTTGCACGTCTACAAATTTATATTCATACAGTGCCATACTTTTGATCATTAAGTGGTTAGTAATTTATGATTTTTATAACTGTTGTAAGGAGGCATTTGACTCTACTTAAAAGCTGCACCAACCATGCAACCTTAATTATTTCTGATATTTTTTTTTCTATTTCATATTTATGAAATTTGAGGGGTAGAAAATAATCTGCAAGAAATTTTGATAGATGGTTTCTGCAGGTGCATTGAAATGCGCATTTTTATATGAAAATAGGTATATAATTTGAAAATATTCAAGATTTTGAAACATGTCTTTATAATTTATTTTGAAATTTCAATTTCATAAAACAAAATGTCAAGTGATTATGGCATAATTCTCCTATATCTCTTGTTTTATTCTCTGGGGTGTAAGAAGTCAGTCAAACGTTGTTGTTTGACTTCACACGGTATATACAAATCCAAGTGAATGTATCTCAATCAATTTGTGGTATGCATTTTTCATGATTAAATTTCTTGCCAGGGAAGACTTTTTTAAGAACAAGTTTACAGTAACATGTGTATACAAGTACATATCCAAAATTTATATTAAATACATGTTTGAATGATATGTTAACTTTTATATGCTTTTAAATGGACCAATAAGGTGTTGATAAAAATAAAGGGAAATAATTAAATGCTGTTAATGATTTCCAGTTGTTAATACATGTTTGATCATCCTTAGATCTTTTCTGTGGTTGATAAAATCTTCTGTTGACCTCTAAAAATGCCTACGTTATTGTATAATACATTTCAAGAGTGCCCTTTTTACATATATGTAGTTACAGGTGCTTTTATATATTGTACCACTAGTTCACAATTCTACACATTGAAAATCTACACAAATCTCTACATATGTGTGTATAGTATCACTTTAACTTTTCTCATTGCTACTATTTGTTCAGATATTTTTTTGCAATTCGTTAATTACTTTTAATTTCTGAAAACTATTTATACAGTTTCATGTATTTTAAAAAAGCCTTATTATGGATCTTGCAATGTAAATTTTTTGTATTTCTATAATTTGTTGTATGTGACATCATATAACATATTCACATTGTGCTCTGTCTATCAATACGTGTCACAAAGAAAAATGCCATGTGTGTAGGTACAATCAGGGACACGGATCACAGAATTAAATATGTGAAGGGAGACAAATCAGAATGAAAAGTGAAATTTACACTTAGATGATAGATCGTAAGATAAGTATATCCATTGTATATGATGTTTGATGGTGACTTTTAATTAAACACTGAACTTTCAATTTTCTGAATTGTAGGGGAAGTATATGGAAATTGTAAGAAAGAAACCCTCAGATGTTTTATATTGTTTATAAGGGCAGCATATTCAGGTTCTGAGGTTTACAAGGGTTCTGTATTGGCTGTGTACAGTGATTTTGTAATATATAAAAATTGTATTACACATACTAGACTTGACAGTCTTGTCTGTAGCTCTCTTGTGTGATATGTGTTGATGTATAGAATCAATACCCGTTTCATGTCCATCTGATACAGATAATGATGAGACTAAGATGCTGACTGAAGTTTATTTCAAGCAATATTTCAGAGACTATACTATGAATATATGAACCTACATACATGTTTTTTTCGATAGATTACATGTAAACTCTAAGCTCAATAGTGGTACTCATTCATTGTTGAAACTAATTTACATACCTACATGTAAATATAATTGGTCCTTAGTGATAACCATATATATATGTCAAGTCATAGACACATTGCATGTTCTAAAATTCACCCAGCTGTAGGGAGGGGTAGTGGTACTGGTGTGATATGTTTTATTCAAGGACAAATTATAGAAGTTATACTACTTGTTGTTCTTTTTAATCTAAGGTGTTCTGTTGTAAAACAATTTTTTTACCATATTTGAGATTCTTTTTGTATATCAAAAATGTCATTTTTTAAAAATGTAACTGGAAAACACAGAATTATTTCAGTAAACATTTCTACAATATACACATTTTGTTCATAAACACTTTGTAAACTTTTATTCTGTGTTGCTCTTTAATATAGAAATTTTGGTTCAAAGTCAGAATGTACTGCTAAACAGTTTAATAACATTTGATAATAATTGTATTGAACTTTTAACAGTGCCTAGGCTTACTGCTTGAGAAATAGTGTTCTTGTCCAAATGTGTGATTTGTTGTGATAGGGGAGGGGCGGAGAAAACAAATTATGGTTTGATTTGTTTTGTTTTTTTACTCCTACAATGTTGTTCATATGGTCATTCATTTATTCAAATATCTTCAGTTCAGCCAATTTTGTTCAGTTTTAGCTATATTTGTGATAAAATTGTAAATTCTACCGTCCATATTTTACTAAAGATGTATTTTTTTAAAATATGATTTAATATTTCTAATTACAAATAAAGCACTCAAAATAACATTAATTGTATTTTTTGTGTGTTAACATTTCTGTCAGTGTTTTTCTAGTGTAAGTCTATATGATTAATGATATCTTACAGCTTTAAAATCCATTTGTGAACAAAACAGTTTGTGAATGGAAAGAGTGTCGTTAGGATGTAGTGTCTTTGTAAATGGAGATTTTGTCTATGGAAAGAAAACTGTATCATTTGTGAACGGAGACAGCACCTTTTTAGATGAGACAGTGTCTTTTTGGATGGAGACAGCACCTTTTTAGATGAGACAGTGTCTTTGGAATGGAGACAATGTCATTGTGGATGAAGATGGTGTGATTGTGAATATAGACTTTGTCTTTTATAAATAGAAACCGTGTCTTATGAATAGAGACGGTGTATTTGCGAATGGAGACTTGTCTTTTTGAATAGAGACGTTTCTTTGTGAATGGAAATCCCTCTTTATAAATGGAGTCATGCAGATTCAGTTCTATGACATATCAATTGACAGTAATGTACCACTTGAGAATGTCCATCGGCAGAAATGGTGTTCTAATGATAAATATCCGGTCCTTGTGCACGTTTATGACAAAATATATATATACAGAACGGCAATATCTCCTTATCTTGCAAGGACTCATTGGGTAGATTGATGGATGGAGAATAGTGAACCAAGCACTGTTTATTTATCAAAAAGGAGCTCTACGGTAAAGAATAAGTCGAAAGTCGCATTAACTCCAATTAGTATTCGTTTAATTCATTGATCATTTTGATGACATGGCGGTTCATCAGACTAATAAGTTTCAATAAAGCTAGTTTTGTGTTCACCATTTTACTGCAAACGCCTTCATAAAATGCCATGTATCAGGCAATGACTTCTGTCTCGTATTGATTTTAATGTGTTTAATTTCCGGGAATGACGCGTGTAATCTTCAGTGATTGAAATGTACATATAAACTTGCGTTTGCAAAAGAGTTTAATGCACATTCATGTCATGGAGGATTGGTTTCATACAGATTGTACGTATTTGCATTCATTCTCTCTCAAATGATTAAACACGTTCGATGATATGGCAAATGAATTCTTAGTCAAGCAAATAAAGTCATTACGGAAGTAATTATGACGTCATCATGCACTAGGTAACACTGTGACGTCACAATAGGAACGGATGCCTGAGTTGTAGGCATGACAAGAAAATGTCGAGTGGTCGACATGTTAGACTTCCTGCTCTGCGAATTCCTTCTGAACCTCCCAAATTTAAGTTTCGGAAGCCAAAAGTTATTGTGAAAGGTGCAGAGAATAACGGCCCACCACCTTCAACAACAAGTTGCGATAAGACTTTAAATCAGGAGTCACAAGCTGAACCACCTAAAGAACAAGAGATAAACCACCAAGGGTTACATCTACCACCCATACACAAAGAACCAGCAGACTCCAAGATCCCGGGGCTATACGGCGCGTATTATTCTCAGTGCATCTGTGACAAAAAGTCGAATGTCGACCCGCTGAACGAACTACCTCCAAATAAACACGGTACTGTTGGTAAAGCATCAGCAACTGGAATAATTGGAGGTAGTTTCGAGCAACCAGTGAAGTACAAACATTTTGCTTACGGAAGTAATGACTGGTTACACCTTCTTGTAACCGGTCAACTTCCCCCGGAAGTCCTCCAAGCATTTATGAGTAAATTTTGCAGAGCGGGAACCACACTGAAAGCACACGGACCACATGCTGAAAAATATTTTTATTATCAAGAAAGACGGAAACGAACGAAACAGCTTTGGGAGCCCAAAGAGATGAAGCAACAGCAAGTTTACAGCCAATTTGATAGGCAACAACTGGAAGCCAGCTGTCGGCAAAGAAAGAAAATGTCAGAATTATCAAAGAAAGCCGAAATGATGGTAAAACGTAATGAATCTGTTTTACTGAAGAAGGTAGATATGGTGGATAGTCGTATCAAATCTTACCTTGATAAAATGGACAAGAATTGTCCTAAAGTTAGTCCAGATATAAACACCAACGAAAACATGAGAAGTTCTTCCTGTGAAAATGATTATATTTCAAATAATGGGGATCAAAAAATAAAAAATGTCCCAAAGAATCCCGAAAACATTGCGGTGAACATCCTACCCGTCATCGCATGGGCGAAAGCAGCTCTCAGTAACATGCTTTCCGAAAATTGTCTTTCTTCTGGGAGTTCTTCGCCTGGAAACGACAAGGTCGATTAGGCGGATGTTTCATGTGAATGTTCCTGTCTGATGAACATGGTGAATCTAAACTATCTTATTTCTCTTACAATATTGTTGAAGCTTCACATATGTCTGACTCAAAAGCTGCTGCGTAATGAAGATTACTTCCTTGGACATTCCATTTCTATTTTTTGCTGAAATTGTATTTATTTTTTCATACCTTCTCCACATCTAACACATAAATAAGAATAATAATCGCGTGTTTTACGCTAAATTAATAAATGAAAGCTGATTGTGCTTGTTCTTTGTATAAGGATTCGTTTTCCTTGATAAATTCATTAGAGTATGAATTTATCATTTGTCAAATCGGCGTTCGTCCGTGTTCCGCCCGGCATCGTCGTTATCGCTAGGTCTTGATATGGATTGAATTAGTGCATATGTATACATTGCCCAATGATGTGCATGATGAATTATTTGACTGATCAGAAAAAATGAAAAGCCAACAGGCGACCATCTTGGATTTTGACAGTTAAAATCATTATAGATGTCTGTCCGTCCTTATACAATTCTTGTTATAAATCTTCAACGAGAAGTACTGGAAGTGTGCTATATGTTCATTCTCCTTGGTCCCTCGTGTTCTTAGAAGAAAATTGACAACAGACGTCCTAGCTTACAGAAAAATCAAGCGAAATCGGACAAATTCACAGTAAGAAATCTTTATTTACAAATTTTACAAAACATTTATTACAAGTTAAATGCTTTATTATCACAGTTCCCGCTTAGAATAAATATATGAATAAATAACCCTGTATACCATACTTATGTAAATCACTAAAACCGGTCAAAATCGAGTACGTATTGAAACAAATATTTCAGGATAAATGGAGGTATTACCCTTGAAAAAAAATCACTTTTTATCCTACCACATTTCCATTAAAGAGTAAATGATGTTAAGATGGTATTAACCACATTTAAAAATTTTCTTGAACATGTCATTTCATGTCCATTATTCAAAACAATTGTGTTGGAATTATTGACAAAACCCGGGATTAGTTCTGGACATGCGGAATATACGTTATCTTGCTACCGGACTTAAACTTATTTCAGTTAGTTGTCATATTTCCAATTAAAAGTTGTACACTAAAGATGAAAAAGTCACGCGCCTATTTCCAAAATGAGGTTATTAGTTGAACATAACTAACGCAGGAACTTAACACAGATACATTGTAGGGTGTGTGGAAGTTGGTGCCGAAAATCGGGATACTTTTATTAGAGGTGACATGCACCACTATGTCAGTTATAATTGGTTGATTGGTTTCTGTTCTGAAAAATGGCACAGGTAAGTAAAGAATAGAACTTGGTTGAAATTCATGTATCAATACAATAGTAAGACATGTTTTTAATTTGTACCTGTGCATTATGTATATTGATGGATTGGTGCGATCCCCAAAGAATACATGTCCCCTACCGACCCCTACAAGTCAGAGCTATGAGAATGACTTTCTAAAAGTAGTTATGATGACCTTGACCTTGATCCAACAACCCTGAAACTTGGACTTAACAAAGATAATTTGATGTTTGATAACAGTGGGAAGTTTGATGAGAATCCCTCTAGAAATAAAGCCGTTAGAGCCTCGACACAGACGCAGGGGCGGACAGACGAAACGGAAAGTAAGATTATACAGCCTTCCGCTAGAGGACTAAAATGAATTCAATTTAAAGAAATTTGACAGTTTTATAAATGCTGGTGTTTTGGCCTTCACTGAAAACGATGTTTCTATGGTAACAAATCCGTGTTCTTGGTAGTCTGTATATCAGAAGAAATAATTCCAATGTGGTAGCATTTGCATATTTTGAGTCTTTTCTTTGCCTCGGCTAATTCACATGGGTCCCCCTGTAAAGCAAAAGACAAACACGTATTACCATGTTAAAGGATATAGGGAATACAACAAGTCTTTAATCCTTTTAATAATATGCTTCCCGAGGATTTCATAAGCATCGAATGTGTATTTTTATCAATTACGTAAAGGCCGATACTACGGAGACAGATGGACTATAAAACATGTTGATTTAGAATTCAACCACCTGTCAACTCCATAGAATTTTAAGTTCATTTTTGCCTGTAAGAATTTCAGTATATGTCACAAAATGTATGTGTCCGAGGAAGAAAGATATACAGACGACATATATAGATGGTTTCTCGGCCTGTGTTACACTACAGTAGTGATAAGACTTGGGAACAGTCTTGGGACATGTACAGACATATTTCTGTATACGTACTCAAGTCCAATCTCCTGAAATGACTCCACCATTAACGCAAATTTCGTCTCCTGCGATTGATTGTCAAGATGAATAAGAACGACATACGTCCCAGGGTCAAGGACGTAATCAGCTGACACATTCTTGGCCACCACAAACTTGCCATCATCATTGTCGGTCATGCGCGCTAGCTTGCCATCATCGGTGTAGTTGTCCCATATCCAGCTGGTCGTCAGTGGGTAGTCACCTTCCTCCACCTTAACGACATTAAAATGTTTCATTCATTACTGAAATTATATCTGTTTACACAGAGTACATCTAAGCTGATAACACCCCAGGATTTCAGAACAATAAAATATAAAGCATGGTTTGGTTAAGATGTTTGTTCTCTGGAAGAATTCGTCGATATAGTTTTGCTTTGAAAATCATGAAAATGGTATGATCACGTGAAAATGTCCTTTCTGACACGAGACTTGCATGTGAACTTTTCCATAGAAATAATAAATGGACATAAGTACAACTAAAGATAAACGTACATATTTTAAGATAAAAACAAATTAGCACTCCTAATCTTTCTATCACATTTTTGTTCATATTTTTCGGATTCAGTAATTCACACACAAAAGTATACCATAATGAGATTCTGACTTAAAAGTTGAGATTTAAATTAAGTGTGGAAAACACGGACCTTCCACATACGGATCCCTAATGGTAAAAGTTCGTCCTTCACCTCTTGCATCAGCTGGATTCGCGCCAGACCTGTAATGTAATGGTAACACCGTATAAACATTGTGTCAAGTTTTAAAAAAGACATAAGCATATTCACGTGACGACGGACGAACGGACAAGCATTCATCAGTCTCAACATGCTCTTATAATGCTAATCAGTTTACTGACACACGGAAACAAGAAAGATACAAGACCTACAGGTGTAAAATCATTTAAAAAAATCAAAATACATAACATCTGTTTTCTGGAAATCGGATATAAACACCGAGGATATGATTGGTAATACCAACATGCAAATCCGTACCCTCAACCTTCCCACTGTATGTGTAGTTAAATTCTCTGTATAACATCAATGCTGTGTTTCGTTTGGCTGCAGAAAGTGACAGTAGATTAATGAAAATTTTGAAAATTAAATTCTCTACACAAACCAGATAAGTTATCAATTACACTGTACCTTATTCCTCGAAGGAATAACAATTTTGAAAATGTATCATTGCCGTCTTTCAATCACAGGGACTTGGTACAAATTCATGATCCATATAAAAAGTATATGTATTAGTGTCACTATCACAAATGGACCGTGAGTGGAAATTCGTGCCAAATCCCTGTGGCTACAACAAAGACTTTCAAACTATGTCTCTGTCATGTTACTTTATGAAATGTTTTGTGAACGTTTATATAGAATGAATACAAGATGTATATGACTTACCTCTCTCACTAATGTTTAGACGAAATTGGGGATTGTTGCCTACTGTATCATTTGAGACCTGACCCCCAGCGTTCGCGCCACATACGAACGCTCCTGTCACACACTTACAGCAACCTGTAACATTTTAAAGTGCATACAATATATACATGAAAAAACACTTATTTTATGTAAGCTGAGCACAGATAAAACCTCTCCCCAGACCTGCGTATTTTAAAAATTTTACTTCATGAAAATGTATAGTTTTAAGACATTTCAATATATGTGAGGCGGATTTAGACAAGTGTAAAATTATTTTCCCTAAGTGTGTACTTCCGGTTGTTGACTTGTGAATGCTATGAAAGCCCGAGACGCCAATCAACACATTAAGTTAGGCAATTTGTAGCTTTTGACGGGTATGTTTTTATGGATCTAGACAGTTGTTACTTGTGTTTAACTTCAAATAATAATAGTATTAGCTTAAATGCTTATTGATAACAATATAAGTGATTGATTTAGTTGTGCGTCCTTTATATCGTACAGTTGGATTCGGTCAATGCACAGATGAGCAATGCGTTATCCTAAGCCTGAATCAAAAGGGTCTGGGTTTGAATTGCTCAATCCCATGTCACTGTATGATTGGCACTTACGGGTTTCAGTGGGTACATCCAGCTGTGGTAGGTCTGGGCGGTCAAAAACCATGTACTTAATACTGTTGTCATCCGTCAGATTCCTACAACACAAAATAGAGATTTAATCCCTAGGTACATTGCGTACATGTGTCTAAATTTAAGACAATTCCATGGCCATTTGCATAATTTTGGCAGTAAATGAGGTGTCGGCGATTTTTTTTTTTTTTTTTTTGGGAATAAAAATATTATTAGAACTCCTGAAAATTAAAAATGCAAGGAATGTAAACATTTATAGGACTGATAAAAGGGTAAATAATTTCGTTTATCCCTGGATTTCATTTTATCAGCTGTAACATGTCTTGCTATGTACATGCGAATATCAAATAACAATATTAGATATCAGAAATAATTTAAATTCAACATTTATTTGAAGATGTGAGAAACAGAAATAAAAAAAGAGATGTATAAACAAACAGCTGAAATCTTTGAAATCAAAATGATAGACATGCAAGTATACAAATTATGTATCATATCATTATCTAAACTGGCATATGACCATTCCAAAAGTAAGCAAACTAGCCTAAACTATAGAGAAAGTAATATATATATGTGTGTGTATATATATATATAGATAAATAAACTCAACAAAGAAGGAAACGATTAAATTATGGCATCAAAGCTCTGAATTTGTTCATTATTCCACAAAACTTCATTATAAACAGATACTTGAACACCACCCATGTACCATACAACATCTCGATCACGTGACAACCCCTGTATTTATTATCTAAGGCGGCAATATCAATAACTCCCTGTAATAATAACAGTTTGGACTAGATATATATTCATGCGAACGTGAACAAGAGGTTGTCGGAGGCATGCTACATGTTAGAGTAAAAAATTACATAATCCAGATGTTTCGCAGAAATCAAAATTTCTGGAAAAATAGATAGATGTTTCTCCTTGCAATCACAAGGTAAAAAACAAATAACTGATAAACGTTACAGTGAACTAGGAACGATAACTCTTGGCAAAGACTGACTGAAAACTAATTTAATATCCATGCAGGATTAAGGTTGGTTTTATTTTGTTAGTCAAGTAAAAATATTTCAGTTAACGCCAAAATTTTGTTATTGTAACATACAAATGTATAGAGAATACATGGTCAGTGTCTTAAAATGAATGTTGTATTTTGTCCTTCTGTCCAGGATACAGCTTATATTTTAAGACACTGACCTTGTATTCTATATATCCTGCAACACTGATTGAAAATCAGACTATTGAATCTTCAACATTTTGTTGTTCTTTCTTTGTTTACCTGTCGACGACGTTATGCTGAATTTTGCCTAATGACGTAAGCCAAAATAATTGCCCGCGTAGAAATGTAACCCCAAACTTCAACGGATATGACAGCGATTTTATGAATTTTCGTAAATAAACTTGTACACGAATTCAGAAAGCAATTCTGTCAAATTACCACACGTGCTGAAATACTGCTGTTTTCCGTCACTGCCGATTACAGCAAAAATATATGTGGCAGGTGTATTCCGACAATTACAGCGCCTGTTGCAGGGTGATAATATCGATAGTTGACCATGCCTAAGATCACAAACATATTTTCCACTTAAAGACACAAAAACGTTGAAATTGAAAGATGTTAGAAAAAAAAGGACGAGCACTACAATGTAACACGCAGTGACAGAAACTGTTAATATAATTATTTTAAAACAATATCTTGAAAAAATTCAAATTAAGAATCTTTCAATGTTAGTCGAACGATATGACGGTCACACCCAAAAAAGGTATACCACAGATAAAACGGGCGGTTAGATATCGTTGTTAGGAGCATGTAATCCATTACCAAATGGAATAGATTTTAAAAGATCAAATAACATTGCTGGTTATATGGGCTACAAGGTATAGATTCTAATCCCTGTCTAGAAACAGCAGAGATTTAATTATAAATCGTACTCGACTTTGTGTACTTTGAAAAATATCTATGTGAACCGTAATAAGAAGCGTAATAAGTTTTAGTACTATCAAGTGAATCGAACACGGATCCTCCGGTTTTACTTATTTTGGCCCGAGGCTTCTGTTTTAACACGGGTACAAAAATATCTAGACATAAATGTAATTAGCTGCCTAGCAATATTTTCGTTTCGATTTTTTTTAATTTAAAGCATGTAGGTTATGGCATAATATTTGGCTAGTTTACGAGAAGTCGCCCTGATACAACTAGTCGTTCGCCTGTGGTACACAAAATCGAGCAGGATCTGAAGTTAGATCAAGCTAAATCAGACATTACTGACACAGAAGAAACAATTATACCTCGCTATCATTCCGTCCCTGAAACAATTTGTAGAAACATGCAAATCACACACAATTAACTTTCGGTGAAAACTGAGCAAAAATAAATTTGAAATTAGCTTCATTAGACGCGTCAAAAAATAAAGCTACTTGGAAACTCCTAGTCCGGACAAGTAAATTTGTGTGATACGTTATGAATTCCTGGCATTAGCTCTATTTATACACCGAATGATTTCTGTCTCTAAAATGATAATCTTATGTCAATATCGATAACAGCATAATCAATGTGAATATAGACAGATCATCATTTTGGCGACTGAAATGTTCGGTAGAATGTTTTGAGTTTTTTTTTTTTTTTTTTGTACCTGATGGACTGGCATTATACCAGTTCGCCTCCTAAAATTAAAACCAAACGTTCTAATTCTGCCGAGAAAGGGCATACGCTAATGCAATGAAAAATATGTTTCAACTTCAATATAAGTCGGACAAATGTGGACAAAACTATACTCACTCAAAACACTGAAGAGGTGCTGATGTAAATACCCTGACCATGAATTCCTTCTCTAGTCCCTCTTCAATGGCTGAGGGAACCACGATGTACTTTCCAGGTTTGACGTGGTAACGGAAGGACGCTTGCTGGTCCTGTTTGTACGAGTTGGTGTTTTTACCGAGTTCGTCAACGACGTAGATACTTTCCTGGCTCGACATCACCTTTAAATCAAATTGTCATCAGATAAATAAATCTAAATTCAATTAAGGAGTTTCCACGTAGATTATCTTGTTTACCAATTACAATGACTGGGTATGGGATCAGTGTAGATCACACTGTGTTGTATTTACAGAGGTAAAAATTCCCGATGGCCGTTTGCATTTTTACGCAATAGACATACCCCGTCCAGCCAAAGATTTGGGCGGAGCTTGTGACCTTGACCTCTCTCGCTCTCTGTTTATGTTATTACTCGAAATGGTCATTAATAAGTACACAAGTACATGTAGTACTGTTGATAAAAGATATTATGTGATGTAAATGACGTAGGTAGACGAGCAGTTTATATATATATATATATGATAACAACATACAACTAACGTTTGAAGTAACAAGAACATAAACGTTTAAAGATATTGTGATATCGAATAGGTAGTATAGATCTGTTCTGTTATGAAAGAGACTTACTTTGTACAGATCACAGCGGATAGAGATTTTATCCTTCTTTCTCTGGTAGGTTCTCTGTATGATCTGTAAGACCAGCGGGACATTACCTGTCTCGTCACAAGCTGTAATATAATTAATGTTCACCTTTGACCTCGGTTGAATTCCTAAACAGACCATAGCAACAAACGCGTGAGTTTTTACTTGAGTGACGTCATTGGATAAATAATATATAAACTTCATTCATAATTTAAATCAATCTTAATATGCAGGAGAACTGATATGCGTATTACTTCATCGGTATGACCTTTTGACCTTTGCCGTTTTTGTACCAATGTAATCGATATAACCTAGAATTACTTACTGGTGAAAAACACTACAACTGTTAGGTTGCTTACTTTTATTACTAAGAAAAATAGTGTAAACCAGAAGAAAAACCACCATACTTACAGTCATCAGTAACTTCTATAAGATATTTTGGGTTCCCCAGCTTATTCTGAAAACCGGCAGCGCTGCTCCCGCGCCAGTCTCCGTACAAACACGTGATATACTCTGGATATACAAGGATTGATTAATAGGTATGTGTACATACAATGTGATGACGACATATGAGTGGAATCAACATGGCAGCTGTTTCGTGTGCGAGTACTTTTGAATGAAGAAACGCATTAAATAAAACATTCGTACTTTTAACAGATTTTTTTCTTGCAGAATTCTCCTCATTAGAAATTCTGAGCTGATCCCGGATTGAAAATCAGAATCCTTGAGACTAATTCTGTAGGGAATGAGAACATATTGAGTCATGAGATAGTATCGGACAAAACGAAGATAAAAGATTTCTTTAATTTTGACATTGTGTAAAGTTAGACAGGGACCGACGAAATGCTTCGAATTAAACGTGGTCTTCAGGTTATAGGGGTTCGAGATAACAAAGTTCGACTGCAGTATACCTTGTTATTCGCAGTTATACTTACGTCTGTTATGTTTCAAAATGATATAACCATTCGTTTTTGACTGTTTTCTTACAGTCGATACAGATGCAGAGTCGCCAAAACAAGCGACAACTTACTCAAAGTATCGCTACTTCCGTCCCTGTCGAAATCTGGCGTAAGACAACATATCGTGACGTCAGAGAAATAAGTCATGAAATCTTTGAGTGACATGTAGAACTCGCCATCGTCGACGTTTGCCCTTTGAACGGCACCTTCGGGAACGGATGACCACTCAGAACTCCTGTAATAAATCATGTGATGTGGAACTTAGATCAAAATGACCAGTAAATGTTTAAACTAATAGATCCAATCAAATCTCCTGTAACAACCGCATTGATCCAATCAAATCTCCTGTAACAACCGATCAATGAGACATTTCTGTAACAAAAACTTGAAAGAAATACAGTATATCTTAGTCGTCTTTACGTAGAACTGATATGTTTCATTGTTCCTTTTCCGGTATAATGATCAATATGTTTTAACGATGGGTAATGTGATTCTTTATTTTCTAATCGCTCGATTTCATTTCAGTTGTGTTTCTGTTTTCAGACACGCTTTGTTTAACTACTGAAATAGCCTCAAATTTGACAGTGTCTTTCCTATTGCATTTGAGATTGATAACTATGAAGTAATGTATCTACCCGTCACTCCAGGCTCCTGTCCATTCGTGCTTGCCCCATGGATTTCGGACACGGATCAACTGGGTATCGTTTCCCTGTGATTAAATTACCCTGAGAATTAGTTTTCAATCAAAATCCCGTCATATTTTATCGCCGTTTATTTGAATACAAATGCTTTGTGCAGAAATAACTGTCATATTTCAGTTACCACTGTCGACTGTTTACGAGTAATGAGAAATATGAAAATTCAAACATTCTCTGACACGATGAAGGTATTCTCATTATGTACAGAATACAATGTTTAATCAGTTTCACTTGCTATAACTTTGTGACAGACCAACATGGTTGAAATATCACTATGAAGAGTTCATTCCCTTTGTGTTAATACTTACAACTGCAGTTCCGGTAAGCGAGTACGCATGTCCACCAACGAGCCCTTTGTGGTCGTCATACTTATCCTAAAAATAAAACAAGTATTCAACTTAAAATGAAAATGACATTTTAAAGAAATGTCTACAACAGGCCTTAATTAGTAAGGCAGTGTCAGAATAGGGTCTTTTATTGTGAATTATTAAGAAAGGTAAGGTAATTTACGACAAAACAAAATGATAAATGTACCACGAGGTTAGAAAGTCCAGTACATGTCCAGCGTTAAAACACAAACTTCACAGAGCGGTCGAACGCGCAGCTATGAGGAATGTTTTGCGTAAAAGATGTCTTATTTTAATACACTTATGAAAGATGCAAAATTGAATGAGTCTTTTCCGGAGGCGCCCCTAGCGCAGCTCTTTAAAAACTGGGAAATGGTACATTGGTAAATTAAAAAGGGTTGCCTCCCTTCCCATATGTGTGTTACCAATGACAACTATATGGTCCTTAAAACGGAACAGTACTTCAGTGGAGAAATAGTCCTGCTCAACCATATATTATTTTTTTCACGAAAAGAACAAGCGGTTTTGTGACCGATATTAGAGTTTTATATATGAACGTACCAAAAACGTTGCCGAGGTGCACACTGTACCCCGTTTTCACTTGATTACAACAGGTTTCGACTCAATCGATAAAAAAATATATCTTTTCATTCACTTAAAGAGTTCCAATAAATGCATCATTATTAAAGTGATTTAACAACGGGGCACGACTCAAACTTTTCATCTGCTTTCTTTACAATATACTGTATTTATGCCTTGTTTCTGTGCGATTCCTCTCTTTCGGTTATGATAAAGCTACGCTACCACCGTCAGAAAATTAAAATAAAATAATTGAAAATTAACATTTGAGAAATACTGGACCTTAAGGTAATGTAAAGGTTTTCTATACTTACAGGGACTGTACATGCTACCATAGCTCCCGAACACAAAGCATTAGTGATTCGGTTGAAAAGGACTTCACCGGAAGTCTCCCCCTTTTGTATATCTATCATTTCCGGTACACCGGCTGTCAAGGCGATGAATGAGTCTGCTGTCAATCCCCCGGTCACCGCTTCGTAACTCCCATAGGACCTAGAAAGCGATTGAAAATTATAGTGATTTCAGGAATGGTATTCCCCATCAAGCGAAAACCAGAAAAAAAAGTATTCAAACAATGCAACCCCGATATTTTTCTTGAACCGCCTTGCTATTTAAAAGTTACCTGGCAAATGCTTTCTCCAGAAGAGCAACCCACATCTCGTTCTCGTCCGTGGCGGAATGTGCGCCGTATACTTGGTCACCATGAACGATAGGCAAGTAATCATCAATATACACGTCATCCCAAATTCCGTACCTCCAGAACCGACAGTGGAATATGCCTCTATACTCAGGAGTGCCGACCATGTAGGCATTTCGGGGAATCACCTGTCAAGAACCCCAAGACTAAATGATCTTAACAAGTCTTTCAACCTTTGAGTTTTGTTTTTGTTTTTTGTTTAGGTCATCGGGGGATAACAGCCATTCACACTAAAAACTTCGCCATTTATTTAGTTTATTCCGAGGTCGAAAAAAGAAAAGCAAAATCCATCAATATAGTATAAAAATATTCAATTCACGGCGTTTCTAAAGAAAAGGAAAGAAATACATTAAACAGTATTCTGTTATGAAATATTTTCTGGGCGGGAAGGTTGCGCAATACTGAATGATAACATTGTCCAGTCGTTTTACAATGCATCTCCAAATAAACGCCATATTCACTTCGAAAAAGAGCAGTTCATGATCAATCATATTATTTTATCATAGAATGAACTTTTTCACGTGGTTGTGTTGTACCAACCTGTCTTATGAGTTTAGGTCGATCTGCAATTACAGAAACCATGGACAGGAACCAACAGGTCCCTATTGAACCCTGTCCGATATCGTATCTCGTGGTTCCGTCAGAGAAAAGAGTCGGACGTGATCGAATTTCCTGTAAAATAAATGAATCCACAAAAGTAAGCTCCATCATGGCTACTGAACTAAAACGATGTACTGATAAGTGTTTTTCTGGATCATTTTACTCCTAGCGACATCTATCGCCAATAATTGCCTTACGAGCTCGTGATTCGTAATTAGTCTCTACCTCTGGAATTTTCCGGTCTTCCGTAAACGTACGTTTTATTAATTAAGATTTATTTCACTTTTATAATTACATTTTTAGTTAATTAATGGTGTACATCGCCAGCTTACAAAAAAAAAAACTATGCAGACTTCCGTCTACATTGTTGCTCTGTTATGTGACAAGTTTATGTTGCTCTGTTATGTGACATTTTTTGTTGCTCTGTTATGTGACAAGTTTATGTTGTTATTATGTAACAAGTTTATGTTGCTCTGCTATGTGACAAGTTTATGTTGCTCTGTTATGTGACATTTTTTGTTGCTCTGTTATGTGACAAGTTTATGTTGCTCTGTTACGTGACAAGTTTATGTTGTTATGTTATGTGACAAGTTTATGTTGCTCTGTTATGTGACAAGTTTATGTTGCTCTGTTATGTGACAAGTTTATGTTGTTATTATGTAACAAGTTTATGTTGCTCTGTTATGTGAAAAGTTTATGTAGCTCTGTTATGTGAAAAGTTTATGTAGCTCTGTTATGTGAAAAGTTCATGTTGTTATGTTATGTGACAAGTTTATGTTGCTCTGTTATGTGACAAGTTTATGTTGCTCTGTTATGTGACAAGTTTATGTAGCTCTGTTTTATTACAATATAATGTTGTTCTTTCCGGATAATTAAAAAGTCAAATATGGACCCTTTGTCCGAACCCAGACATTATATTTATTTATAGACATATTTTACATCTGACGGATATTGTTTAATCCTCCAACTGCGTTGCCAAGATCGGAATACACCTACCACGTAATTAGGCAGAATTACTTACCAAGTTATTTGAATGTTTCATCTAAAATATAGATTATTTCATATAAGTCAATTTTGTTGCTGTAACAATCAATGCTATTTACGAAATTTCTTAAAATCATCCATTGACGTGTGGGACTGTATTTCCGTGCGGATTGATTATTGATTGATAATCAGGCACAATTCGGCGTAACGTCAACGTCAGGTAAACAAACTTGGGTAGAATAGACCTAACAAAGTGTTTAAGTTCCGATAAGAATTTGCTATGAGTGTTACAGGATAAATAGAACACATGATCAGTGTCTTAAAATATAAGCTGCATTTTTTCTTGGGACAAAAAGACAAAAGCGTCTCACAAAAGGCTCACTACTTCTGTCTTCATTCACCCTCGCGAAAATACAACTTATGTTCTAAGATCCTGAACATGTATTTTCTATATATTACATTAATGAAACAGCCTACCGTGGGACGTTTCCATTCAATTCCATCGGAACGACTAGGCAGAGCGACATCCAATGGAAAGTCAAGGTCTTCGTATAAACTGTCCCCGGACGTAACGGGAACCTGTTCGTAATCATAGTCTTCTGGGCTCTGTCGGAAGTCAGCATGAACTTCGTGTGTTTCCATATGCGTTTCGACATATTCTGACCCGAACTTTGGTGGAACCGGTGAACTCATACCATCAAGATGACTTGGGTAGGGAACTGGTGTAAGCTCTTGGTGATCTGGTTCAGATGGAGGCAGTGGTGGTGGTGGTGGTGTGGGGGTTCGGGGTGGTGGGGTGGGGTCTTTTGGAGGAGATGGTGGGGGAGGTGTTGGATCCCGCGGAGGAGTTGGGTCCCGCGGAGGAGGTGTTGGATCTCGCGGAGGAGTTGGGTCCCGCGGAGGAGGTGTTGGATCTCGCGGAGGAGTTGGGTCCCGCGGAGGAGGTGTTGGATCTCGCGGAGGAGTTGGGTCCCGCGGAGGAGGTGTTGGATCTCGCGGAGGAGTTGGGTCCCGCGGAGGAGGTGTTGGATCTCGCGGAGGAGGTGTGGGGTCTTTGGGTGGTGGGGTAGGGTCTCGTGCAGGTGTTGGTTGTACTTGATTGTGATTGTACATTCTACTGTCTGGTGGCGGACCATTGTAATCATGTTGGTTTCCATGTCCCACATTGCTGTATTGGTGATTAGTATCGGTGGAGGCTGCGCATCCCATGTCTGTAACCTTTGTTAGGACCTGTCCGGACAAAGCAGTGGTAGACTGACACTGTAAACAAGCAGAAACCTGATGATTATGTATTCTGCTGTACTCAACTCATTCAGCTCTATTAAACTTTCAGAGATTTTCTTTACAATCAACAGTCGTTCCTTCCTGACCTTACTAATGTTTGTTACAACCAGCAATCGTACTCCCTTTTGTCACAACTAACTTCTTTTACAACAAACAACGTACTCTCTCTGGTCCCAATTAACTATTGTCACAACCAACAGCCGTTCTCTCTCCTGTCCCAACTAACTTCTGTTACAAATAACAAGCCGTTCTCCCTCCTATCCCAACTAACTTCAGTTACAACCAACAGCCGTTCTCTCGCCTGTCCCAACTAACTTCAGTTACAACCAACAGCCGTTCTCTCTCCTGCCCCAACTAACTTCTGTTACAATCAACAGCCGTTCTCTCTCCTGCCCCAACTAACTTCTGTTACAATCAACAGCCGTTCTCTCTCCAGTCTCAACTAACTTCTGTTACAACCAACAGCCGTTCTCTCTCCTGTCCCAACTAACTTCTGTTACAACCAACAGCCGTTCTCTCTCCTGCCCCAACTAACTTCTGTTACAATCAACAGCCGTTCTCTCTCCAGTCTCAACTAACTTCTGTTACAATCAACAGCCGTTCTCTCTCCTGCCCCAACTAACTTCTGTCACAACCAACAGCCGTTCTCTCTCCTGCCCCTACTAACTTCTGTTACAACCAACAGCCGTTCTCTCTCCTGCCCCAACTAACTTCTGTTACAACCAACAGCCTTTCTCTCTCTGGTCCCAACTAACCTCTGTTACAATCAACAGCCGTTCTCTCTCCTGCCCCAACTAACTTCTGTCACAACCAACAGCCGTTCTCTCTCCTGCCCCAACTAACTTCTGTTACAACCAACAGCCGTTCTCTCTCCAGTCTCAACTAACTTCTGTTACAACCAACAGCCGTTCTCTCTCCTGTCTCAACTAACTTCTGTTACAACCAACAGCCGTTCTCTCTCCTGTCCCAACTAACTTCTGTTACAACCAACAGCCTTTCTCTCTCTGGTCCCAACTAACTTCTGTTACAATCAACAGCCGTTCTCTCTCTGGTCCCAACTAACTTCTGTTACAACCAACAGCCGTTCTCTCTCCAGTCTCAACTAACTTCTGTTACAACCAACAGCCGTTCTCTCTCCTGTCCCAACTAACTTCTGTTACAATCAACAGCCGTTCTCTCTCCTGTCTCAACTAACTTCTGTTACAACCAACAGCCGTTCTCTCTCCTGTCTCAACTAACTTCTGTTACAACCAACAGCCTTTCTCTCTCCTGTCTCAACTAACTTCTGTTACAACCAACAGCCGTTCTCTCGCCTGTCCCAACTAACTTCTGTTACAACCAACAGCCTTTCTCTCTCCAGTCCCAACTAAGTTCTGTTACAATCAACAGCCGTTCTCTCTCCTGCCCCAACTAACTATGCTAGCACACTTAATCCCATTCAAGGTATGTTACAATGAGAGTTGTGAAATTAAAAAAAAAACGAAGTAAATGACTATTTTAACCATCCATTAATTGATACTCATTACTGAAAAAAATCTCATTAAATCCATACACTAACGTTTTACTTTTGCTTTCTTCTGTAACTACATGTAATATCCGTTACTACGTATTGGTGAATTAGTGAAAACGACGCGTTTTACCGCATTGAGCGAGGCCCGTAATACCCTGGACATTCATCTGTGGCAGCAGTTACTGTAAATCACCGATATTTCGAGTGATATTTATTTTCACGTTCATACACGAGGAAAGTCAATTGCAAATTCTTCACGATTATTTGTGCGAAAATCACACTTGATGACATCCATGTTGATTTAGTTACCAATATCGATGAGTCTTGGTCTCTAATAGATCTTCATTCTCGAATTTAATGTCATTTCTAGATTAGCGTTCGCGACATCATTTACTCGCAAATTTGTCTGAACAGGTAAGTTCGCGAAATGAAGTATTCATGAAATCTCAGTGATTTACAGTATTAGTATTATCATTATGATCAGCCATTCCTTAATAGCCATGTCACAATACCTATTTACTTTCATCAAGTAAACATCTCAATCAAGATACAACAATTATATATGTTATTTCATACCTGGTTAAAGGTTGAGATTCCAGGTAGACCATTCTGTAGAGTTATATAGATCGCAAAGTCAATAGTTGGTTAAAGCAGGATTTTGTTTTAATAATTGTGTACAGAGTAGTTACATGACGACCAGCTAAGTGTATGTATGTTAGTCTTGGACAAACAAAGAATGTACTCTAGGTTCAATAATGAAAATATGTCACATTGTCTAAATAAAATGAAGCAATGCCCACTGAAAGCTGAGAACGGGTAGATGCAACTGACATATTTATCATATACACATATACAGAATTTGCATTTGAATAGAACGACATTGTCATACTGATATAAGTAAAACACATCAAAAAATAGATTGGAAATGATATATTACATATGATTGTGTACCCTATCCCTGACCATTCGTGCGCGTTTTGTTAATTACACGTGACATAACAAAACCACAGATAAAATCTAGTCTGTCATATCGAAATTCCGGCAAAATACGTACAATGATTTCCCTCGATATTCTCGTCCCGTCGGCTTGCTGTTAACTTTTAAAACTATAACATTTATCTTCATATCTTATAGAAACTGATAGCCTACAATTTCTAATTTTCATTAGTGGTTGATTTATTTTTTAAATTATCTCGACTAAGTTGGATTTTGCTCAGTCACCGCCTAGATTAATCAATTAAGGTCCTTGGCATCACTGACGAGGCCTAAAAGGACGAAATCGCTTTATGGTGTAGCATCACTGACGAGGCCTAAAAGGACGAAATCGCTTTATGGTGTAGCATCACTGACGAGGCCTAAAAGGACGAAATCGCTGTATGGTGTAGCATCACTGACGAGGCCTAAAAGGACGAAATCGCTGTATGGTGTAGCATCACTGACGAGGCCTAAAAGGACGAAATCGCTGTATGGTACACTATCTTATTCTAAATTTCGATAAAAGGATGCTATTCACTTGTTTGGCTTTTATACAATTTCTGTTTCTTCACCATTCATGATGTCACAACAAATAGCTTCCCTCTATCACAAGATGGAAATTGAAATTATTTGACTTTTTTTAATATGCCAACTAGATGAGGACAAAGCAATGAAGTGCTTCAAAACACTTCCGTACATAGATATCCATTTACCCAATAGTTGATTGCCTCTCAATTCCTGAAAATAAAGTTCTTCATGTTTACAATTCAATTCTATTCTGTTTGAACTTCATTTCTATTCTGACCTGTATAGGCAGTGAAACATTCCAAAGTCGGTAATACATCAGGCAATCAATTAGAATGGTTTGATTAGGGAAATAGTATCCTTACAACTTGTAACCGATTCTTTTGTGTTTTATGTTAAAATGACAGTTGTTCAAACGACAAGAGAACTTCAGACGCCACACAGAATTGCTAATATTTGCGCACATGTACAATGTTTATATTTGTTACTTTATTTTTTTATTTGTTACTTTGAATTTTTTATTTTTTACTCAGTATTTCTATTTGTTACTCAGTATTTATATTTGTTACTCAATATTTCTATTTGTTACATTGTATTTCTATTTGTTACTTTATATTTTCATCTGTTACTTTGAACTTTTATTTTTTACGTTGTATTTCTATTTGTTACTCAGTATTTCTATTTGTTACTTTATATTTTCATCTGTTACTTTGAACTTTTATTTTTTACGTTGTATTTCTATTTGTTACTCAGTATTTCTATTTGTTACTCAGTATTATTTCTATTTGTTACTCAGTATTTCTATTTGTTACTCAATATTTCTATTTGTTACTCAGTATTTCTATTTGTTACTCAATATTTCTATTTGTTACTCAGTATTTCTATTTGTTACATTATATTTTCATCTGTTACTTTGAACTTTTATTTTTTACGTTGTATTTCTATTTGTTACTCAGTATTTCTATTTGTTACTCAGTATTTCTATTTGTTACTTTATATTTTCATCTGTTACTTTGAACTTTTATTTTTTACGTTGTATTTCTATTTGTTACTCAGTATTTCTATTTGTTACTCAGTATTATTTCTATTTGTTACTCAGTATTTCTATTTGTTACTCAATATTTCTATTTGTTACTCAGTATTTCTATTTGTTACTCAATATTTCTATTTGTTACTCAGTATTTCTATTTGTTACATTATATTTTCATCTGTTACTTTGAACTTTTATTTTTTACGTTGTATTTCTATTTGTTACTCAGTATTTCTATTTGTTACTCAGTATTTCTATTTGTTACTTTGTATTTTTATCTGTTACTTTGTATTTCTATTTGTTACATTATATTTCTATTTGTTACTCAGTATTTCTATTTGTTACTCAATATTTCTATTTGTTACTCAGTATTTCTATTTGTTACATTATATTTTCATCTGTTACTTTGAACTTTTATTTTTTACGCTGTATTTCTATTTGTTACTCAGTATTTCTATTTGTTACTCAGTATTTCTATTTGTTACTCAGTATTTCTATTTGTTACTTAGTATTTCTATTTGTTATTCAGTATTTCTATTTGTTACTCGGTATTTCTATTTGTTACTCAGTATTTCTATTTGTTACTTAGTATCTCTATTTGTTACTCAGTATTTCTATTTGTTACTCAGTATTTCTATTTGTTATTCAGTATTTCTATTTGTTACTCAGTATTTCTATTTGTTATTCAGTATTTCTATTTGTTACTCAGTATTTCTATTTGTTACTCAGTATTTCTATTTGTTACTCAGTATTTCTATTTGTTACTTAGTATCTCTATTTGTTACTCAGTATTTCTATTTGTTACTCAGTATTTCTATTTGTTATTCAGTATTTCTATTTGTTACTCAGTATTTGTTACTCAGTATTTCTATTTGTTACTCAGTA